TACCACTGTTGGGTTTGCCTACAACTTCTGTATGACCTCTAAAGGCCAAGTTAGAGCCTGCCAGAGTAAGAGTGACATTGACGATTCGATCTAACACACTAACCCATTTATTGGTTTCCTGTTTAAGCTCTGATTTCATACCGGCGTCGACTGTCCGATCCTTTCTCCACAAATCCGATACACGACATGCGTTCAAATGGATGGCGCTTTTTTCATGTGTATCAATTTTTTTTGAAAGGCCTTTCCAATCTCGTACTCCCTCGTCGGCCCACGGAGACAGCAGTGAACCCTTTCTTTCGGCAAACAACCAGCAAGCCTCACAGTAAACTGCGTCTTTTTTCTTTGAATAGCAAAGCCATTCCCTTGAAATTTTAAGTCCAGTTTTTGTTTGAGTTTCGTAATATTTTATAGAAAAAGATCTGTATTCTTGGTTCTGGTCTTTGGGAAACGGACCGCGAGGTTTGCATGGACCATTATTTATTACGAACTTTTTTATCTCGTTCGTTACTGTGTCACCAAAGTGTCCACGGTCCGTTGGATATTCCTTATCAAAACTTATCGAATCATGCATCGTATCGACCGACAAATAGTTAGAACAAGAACTTTCATTGTCAACTGATTCATCTAGATTGTTTTTATTCCCGTGTTCACTAATTCCTGATTCCGAGTCAACTGTTGTTTCTATTCTATTACTTTCTTTATTTATCTCCTTTTTACTGTTAAAATTATCACGTGTTTCCTCAGTAACATTACAAGTTTCTTCACTTACCACAACATCTTTTTCAATCGGAGTGTCTTGATGTTCTGATGTAGATGGAAAATCACTGACACGATTAAAAAAAGATTGGATTTTGGGATGCTTTTGCGCTTGTGCCGCATCAAATTCCTGTTTCTGGGCTCTCCTTTTTCGTTTTGCTGCACCACTTAAATGTTCATAGCGTTTCATAATGATACAGTTTATATCTCATACTATACTATAATAACAAAGTCCATCACATTACTCACTCACTCACTCAAATAATAGATGTAAACTATATCTCATACTATACTATAATAACAAAGTCCATCACATTACTCACTCACTCACTCAAATAATAGATGTAAACTATATCTCATACTATACTATAATAACAAAGTCCATCACATTACTCACTCACTCACTCAAATAATAGATGTAAACTAAGGGCATAACCAAACAAAGTCTCTCGCGACATGCACTATTGCACCACTGACGAGTCACTCGCAATCCGCATGGAATGGGTCTCCAAAATCAGGTGATCTACGGTCAGCTGAGTACACGACGTGAGCGGTTAGTGGGGGTGGGGGAGGGGTTGGCTCCGAGTGTGTGTCGCCAGTCGCCACGGCGGCAGGCCGGCAGGCAGGCACACAGCTCCTAGCGCTAGCATGAAGCTACACAACCACACTGACAATACACACGTCGGGTGATCGTAGTGAGCGTTGGCGTTTCGTTAACAATATTGTTAATTAAAAGATAAAACTTCAGTAGATTTGGCAGAATAAAAGTATCTACCAACACATCGTTTTTTTATTTATAATTTGTCAGGGGAGAAAAACATCCGTGAACAAAGGATCGGTTTTACGGACGGTTTTATGAAAAAAGGGTATCTTAACCTCGCGGGCCCTTTAACCTCGCGGGCCCTTTAACCTCGCGGGCCCCCCCGCACCGCGGGGTCTGCGGGGGCGGCTGTTACGCCACTGGTCGGTCCCGAAACGTCACTACTGAACGAGACTAGAGCGATCGTCCTTTTTATTTAGCCTAAAAGCGACTTGGGAATATAATTTTGTACAGTGAATTGGAAGGTTTTAACAACCTATAAATGTTCAAGTGCGTGAAATTGTAAATAAACTTGTTTAGTGTTGCAATCAACGGGTAAACTTGTAAACTTGTAGGCATATAAGCTCTAGGCCTATATTTAAAAGTAAAAGTCATTGTTAAAAATGTTTGAAAAAATGTGCTGTAGGTTTAATTTTACGGTTTACGTTCATTCGTTTTCTTTCACTGTTATTGTATTATTATTATTATTATTGTGTTTATCCTCATTAAAATTGTGTGTTTCGTTCTAATAATGTTTGGGTTTTAATAATTAATTTCTAAAAACCTTTAAAATTATTTTTTAAATCAGTTTTGTTCACGTTGAGTGGTAATTGTAAACTTGTAGGCCTATAAGCTCTAGGCCTATATTTAAAAGTAAAAGTCATTGTTAAAAATGTTTGACAAAATGTGCTGTAGGTTTAATTTTACGGTTTACGTTCATTCGTTTTCTTTCACTGTTATTGTATTATTATTATTATTATTATTGTGTTTATCCTCATTAAAATTGTGTGTTTCGTTCTAATAATGTTTGGGTTTTATTTAATAATTAATTTCTAAAAACCTTTTTGTCATCCTGAACCATGGTATTCGGAATCGAACCCGGAATCGAGAATCGAATCCCAAATTTCAGAATCGGAATCGGAATCGAATAATTTTGGAATCGACCCATCACTATATTTTACACTACTGTGGGAAAAGGAGTTTACTAAATACTTAAAAAGACTTTGAAATATTAAATAACTATACAAACTAGGAACAGTGCCCATGTTTGGAATGAAAAGCTCAATTATGAGTCACTTAAGATTTTAAATATATTTTTTTAAGCATATTTAAGAAACTATATTAGTATGCACAATCTCCTAATCTCATAAATCAATAACTTTCAATGTCATTTTAAACTATTCGCCTCTTGAAGTAAAATTCCAACACTCGTTTCTAATACACTTCACTCACTCCCATGGCCATTTATGCCCTAGGCTGCTCTCCATATCTCTCTATCTTCTACCTCTTCAACTGCTGCTCCCACTTCTCTGACGCCCTTGGAGATACTATCCCACCATCTCTCTTCTTGGGCCTTCCTAATGGTCATTTCTCTTCTGGCTTTCCTATGCTTGCTTGTTTTAATAGTGAACCACGTTCTCTCATTTCCAACGCATATCTTTAAACAGCTGGTAAAATCTGAATAGCAGGCCATTCTCTTAGGCGATACCTTTACAAAACATCAGTGTTGGGTTAACTACTTTTTAAATGTAGCTTTTGCTACTTCTACATTTTTACAAAATGTAGCTTGCTACCGTTACAACTACAATCAAAATGTAGCAAACTACTTTTTTTGCTACATTTTATGTTTTAATAATAAAATATTTGTTTTCAGAATAACTATGAGTGTACTGAATCATTTTTAGTAATTTTCAACTCCTATAGGCTACTACCGGTAGTTATGATATTTAAAAAATCACTAGGCTATTATTTTTTAGCTATAGGGTAGGAGGTTAAGGATCACAGCTAACTCACCTGATTATAAATACAGATGGTTGGAGCACAGATTCGCATAAATTCGATGCTCCAACCAGCTGCATATTTCTAATCAGGTGTCGTCCCTGGAGGGAATGAGGTGGTTCGGCTTGTGACTAGGTGTTATGCAGTATTGTGAGGAGGGGGAAAAGGGTTTTCAATATCGTTAAGGTAACATACAAAAATATATTTTATTCCTAAGGACCCAAATGATAAAATTATGTAAGACAGTCTTTTTGATAGACAAATTGGAAACTGATATTCTAATTCCAAAACGTCTTACCAACTCCCTGCTCTGATCTACCAGAAAGGACGTGAGAGATTGGATTGGGTAACTCTGGGTTGAATACGATGAGAATTAAGATACATCTGAATTTTGTACTGTTAAATTTCCGTAATGTAAAAAGTGCTGCAGTTAAAAGAAATTAAATACATGAGAAAACATTAGAAGTGTTTATTATACAATGGTTTTTTTAATAACGTTTTATTGCAAACGCCAATCTCTTTATATATTGTGCTCATATAAACTGTAAAGTTTGTTCTTAAAATGTTTCTCCTTAGTTCTTATTGATAACACTACTCAAAAACCAATTTTAAACCATTTTTCGACTTCAGGAGAAAATTTCACCTAGATTTCATACCCCTAAACCTGTCTAAAATGTCTGATAACGCTACGTTACAAGGGTGAGAGGGTGGGGAGGGTTAGGCTCGCGTTATGAGGGGGGGGGGGGGGGTCATTATCACACACAAGGAAAGAGGGAGGGGTTCAAAAATGTCAAAAAATGTGTTACGTTATATGTGAACGGCTCCTTAAATGTGATCGTTAACCTCCTTTAATAAAGACAACTTCTATACTGGTTATTAAATTCAAATGTATTGGCAAATTTCTCACCTAAATTTTGCTTGGATTTAAATAAAAAATTATATTAAACCAAACTTTACAGACAAAATTCAGTAGTCTACATAAAGAGACATGAGCTGGTTGTTAAAACCACATGATGACATTATAATTTTAAGAAAACAGGTTTCGGACTTACCTAAATTACCTTATTTAAATTATGAATTAAATAAAGCATAAGCTACTGTGATTTACTAGTGATAAAGAAAAACACATCTTTGTTGTCAAGAAAGTAGCATTACAAAAAGTAGCAAATACTGCATTTACTGCTACTAAAAATATAGCATGCTACTGCTTTTGCTACAGTTTTACAAAAGTAGCAATGCTACATCTACTGCTACAAAAAATGTAGCAAACTACAATAACTACAGTAGCATTGTTACTTGTAGTTTGCTACTAACCAACACTGCAAAACATGTAAATCAACCTTACTTATTTATTATTCCACCCACGGTTTTCTTCTTAAATCTGTTGAAAAAGGTAGGGAGAGTAATCCCAAAAAGCAAACCCCCTATAAAAAAATAGAATATTTTCATACTGAGAGTGTAGACGTACAGTATATACACCCATCTGATTCTTTGGTAAATAGATAGGAACCAATCCTCAAGTAGCTTAAAATTGATTTGAAACTATATATGTACTGTATATCCAATAACTGTTATCTGATAGGACTTAAATTCTGCACTGTTTGAAATATAATCTACAATTAAATTTACAATTGTGAATTTTATTTCATAACTTGATTTTTTACAGATGGCTGAGTTTCCTCTAGAACCGAATCTTTCCAAAATGCTTATAATGTCGGTTCATGTTCAGTGTTCCGATGAAGTTCTTACAGTGGTCTCTATGTTGTCGGTGCAGAATGTCTTTTACAGGTAAGCTAGTTGTTACTTTGTTTGTATACTTACTTACTTACTTAATCCTGTCCTCTTCTACAAGTGATTTTGAGGTTATAAGGTGTTTCCATATCTGCTGGCTGAGTAGTAGAGCCTCTTTATGTAGATCATCTTATACTTAAACCTATTTCCACCCAGGTTTCCCCTGCTTAGTTTTATTATCAGATTATATGAATAAATGGTTTTACATATAAATTTGTAGAATTTTAAGTACTAATTAATCATTGTGGAAGTGAAGGTAAAATCTATTTTATGAAAGTAAGGACAGTGGTTGTCGTTTAAGATGTGTGAAACTTCTTAACTTGGGTTCAGCATCAGAGCATATTGCAAATTATGAAAATTTCTTGTAAGGTGCCTACTTTTCACTCGAGACACTGTGACTAACACAAATCCAATTTATAACAACCACTCCTCCTCCTTCCACAACTTATGGCTATTCAAACTTCAAACCAACCATTCTGTATGTGAGTCATATTTGAAATTTCTCACAAAAATTGTTTTTAGTATTGTAAAACTGACATTCTTCAAAGATCGACAACTTTTGTAATGGAAATGTTTTCAACAATCCTTTTACAACTTTTTAACTTTATCAATAAAAGAAGAGTAGTTGGAATCTCTTTAGAATCAATTAATTAAAATATTTTAAAATAGTGGTAAAGTCTTAGCATCCATAATGTGAGTTTTGTTTCTATAATCAAAAAATTGTGTGTCTTTTTCCTACACTGGATTTTAGGAATCACATTATTCTTCAATTGTGATAAAGCAGCCAGTTATAACCAATGAATACAAACCTTATAAGAAGGTAAATGCTTCTAGAGAACAGTCAGATCAAATTTTTAAACGAGCCTCACGTGGCTGCGCTACTCTCTCTCTCTCTATGACGATTCTTTGTCTCACTCTCTCTGACTCAGTCATTTAACTTGGCCACACAGTCGCAATAGTAGTGCCGTCACTTCCGAGCGGCCGCCACGGGAAATATTGATACAAACAAAGGTTAAATATTCCCAAACTTAATTTTTAACACAAGCATTGTGCTTTTTATAAGGTTTGTGTTCATTGTTATAACTAAGACAATAAAAATAAAAATAATAATTAATAATTAAAACTTAATTTAATTAATTAATTTAATTAATTAAAATAATTTTAATTAAAAAAAAATAATAAAAAAAACTTTTGACTTTTTTGTGTTACAGGCCGAAAGACAAGCAAGCCCTGGCAGATCAGAAGAAGGCCAAGTTTAACCAACCAGAAGGAGACCATCTTACTCTTCTGGCTGTTTACAACTCTTGGAAGAACAACAAGTTCAGTAACGCCTGGTGTTACGAGAACTTTGTACAGATAAGGACTCTCAAACGAGCCCAGGACGTGAGGAAGCAACTACTGGGGATTATGGATCGGTAAGTTTAAGCTTGCCTTGCAATTAACCACTTATACATCTGATAATCCATCTGGTGATAAAACATCTGATAATCCATAACACATCTGGTGATCCACTATGTATCTTATAATCCGGGTCATTCTATCAAGGCTACAGCCGTAATCGGCTCCTGCTATCATAGCAACACCCGCGAGCATATCTTACGGTCAGCGATGCCATTAATTTTCCCCCGCAATTGTGTCAACAATGTAATAAGTTTAGAAATAAACTTAATGGTTATTTGGTTGAGAAAACTTTAATTCTGGGCAGCCAATTGTTATAGTAGGAGAACATGGGATATTCGGTCTCCAAGGTTATGGGTTCCAATCATGCAAATTATCAATGATTTAGCTATGTAATAATGCTGCCCAACAATCTGACACATCCAAATGTGTTACACCTTGGCCCACCCTTTCAAGGGGAAAAACAAACCAAATGTGTACAAAACTGAACATAATAAAGAATTTTTTTAGGTTTTTTTAAGGCGGTACTTCATTTTCACATTTGTTTTTGTTTCTCTAGGCACAAACTGGACGTGGTGTCAGCAGCCAAAAACACAGTCCGGGTCCAGAAGTGTGTTTGCTCCGGGTTCTTCCGGAACGCAGCCAAGAAGGATCCACAGGAAGGATACAGGACTTTGGTGGACAGTCAAGTTGTCTACATTCACCCAAGCAGTGCTTTGTTCAACAGACAACCAGAGTGGTAAGTAGACCTATGACTGTTATAGATTCATTTTCTTACTGAAATCGTTATTTATGTTGACTTTTCCAAATGTAAGGTTTAGTGGTACCGTAATATGGACATTCCTCGGTGTGTTTTTGTTTTACAATAGTATTTGAACCAGAAGTTAGGCTCCCTTGGCCAAAGTAAAAGTTCAAATCTTGAAATCTTTAAAAATTACCTACCCATTGAATTGGGAACACAATTGGGAATTGCACTGGCTTTAGTGTCGGATGCGTTGTAGAAATCCATCTTCGTTGCAAGCTAATAATTCAACTTGACTGTTGTAATATTAGGCTTCAACCATTTTAATACTATTACCTACTAGGAATATATCACTATCGAATAGCCCCTCATGTGGTCTAGTTATCAATAATAGGAATCATAAGTGGAATTCCTCTGCAATGGTTCAGGTCATATTTAGTTGGTCGTAAGCAATACATTGAGGTTGATGCAGAATGCTGTTCCAAACTTGCCGAAGTGAGATATGGTGTCCCTCAGGGCTCTATCCTTGGACCTCTGCTTTTTATTCTTTATATAAATGACGTCGGTGCCTATGTTTGTCCTAACTCCTTAACGCTGTATGCAGATGATACCACCATGCTTTTTAAGGGCTTGTCTGAAGTTGTTCAAGAGAACATGTCTTCAACAATTACAAATTTTGATAACTGGCTTTTTAATAATAATCTTCTTTTAAATCAGAATAAAACTAATTATGTCCAATTTCTAACCAGAAACAAAAATCCACTGCATCTTAAACTACCACAATCTTCAATAAAAGAACTTTCTGAAGTCAAGTTTTTGGGCGTTGTTATGAATTCTCAGCTGACGTGGCAAACACATGTTTCAGATCTTTGTGGTCGTTTGAGCAAGGTGAGTTTTGCCTTGAGAACATTGGTTTCTTTGCTTGATCAGAGGGACCTGATCAATGTTTACCATGGATGCTTTCAGTCTGTTATATCATATGGAATAGAGGTTTGGGGAGGTTCTACACATGCAGACAAAGCATTTACAACGCAAAAATGGGTTTTATTTTGAACCCTCATGAAGTTCCCCTAATTTTCATTGATATACCTTAGACCTATGTGCAAAAATATGCAAAATTTTGCCCACACAATATGTAAAAACTTAAGTGCGCCCCCCCCCTCCCCCCGCCCCCATCCCAGCTAAGTCCTGGATCCGCCGATGATCATTGGTAAAGCATAGCTTGAGGTGGTGGGAATCACCATCAGATCAGGTCATTATGCAACTTCAAACTGTGCAAAACAGAACAATCAAAACAATGACCAAGCTTGTTTTAGCTGCTCCGTGAAAAATCTCACGCTTGGTTATCAGGATGTTTATAATCTTTTATTAAATTGTTACACACTAAGCCAGGTCTATATGATTTTTAAATAATTTCACTAAACTCAATATTCAAGCTTTCTGGACTAAATTTTGAAAATCGTTGCAGCATTTTTTGTAAGCTTTGTAATTATTTACAAAATTAACAGGAATCTCCTAATTAAAAAAAAATCATTGGATGTAGACAAACTGACCAAGGTTAACATGTTTATAAAAAACTACCCAGTTCTTGTTATATTTTTGCTTTAAATTCTTTGACTTCTCACAAAGCAAAGCTCGGCAATCAAGTCTCTCTCCACTATATTTCACAGTGCACAATGAATGGAACATAGTAATCAACACTGTTATTTTACTACAGAGCTACAATAGTGAGGCTGTTTACACATAGATAAGCAGATTATAAAATCTTCCCTTACCATTCCTGTCAAAGCTCTGACCTTGAAAGGTGCTTTTGGCAAGGTCATATTTAGAAACTTTCACACTCATTATCACTAAATCTTTTAACATCTTAAATAGTCAATCCTGTATTGTTTCAAATATATATTATTTTTTAACGATAACTTTCAAACCTACGGTTGACTGCTTTATAAAACAAATTATTTTTAAAATCTTATTAGTTTTGGCGGAGGTAAATTTTACAATAATATTAGATAATAATTTGTTCGAATGTGAAAAAAGTGACACTTGTTGTCATTGGCTGTTTATTGCCTAATAGAATACATGTTAGATTAATGTTTGGTTTTGTAGATTTATTTTTAGGTTAGGTTTTATACTGTACAGTAGTTTGTGATGCCAAACTCCTTGTACCTGATGTACAAATACAGTATAACTCCAATTATTTGGGTGTTGGATGACTATCAAATGGGAGTATACTACATTTGAATATCAACAGTTGGCATGGTTAAATTTGTACCGAAATTCAAGGTATTTTATAGAAAATAGGCCGAGTCGAGTTGGGCTTTTTGGTTTGTTGATTTCTACTGTATGAAAGACATTTTGGTCTTGTATTTAATTTTTAAACCCTTATAGATCAGCTAGAGACAACTTTGGAAAATTTTCTGACCAGTTTTTGTGTAGATTTTTTTGTATGTACTTTTAATATTGATTTCCCATTATTTCAGCACCTTTTAAATTATTTTAACAAAATCTACCCGACCTACAAAACTAAAGAACAAAGAGGACAATGTAAAATTTACCGTTAAAAAAGAGAGAAATATTTAGTCAACATCAGTCCATTTAAATGCAGGGGTGCCCACAGGGGGGTTTGATGTCGCAAAATGCGACATCAGAAATTTATTTGGGGGGGATTTTATGATTTTGGGGGGGATTCAAGCCAGTGGTTGGTTAAAATCACATAAAAGATTAATCAGATAATTTTTACGACCTCCTTAATTTATTACTCCAGTAATAAATAACGGTATTTTGATTGCATAATTACCCTAGGGTAATTATGCAATCAAAATCCCGTTTGACATTTTATCTTGATTATTAAATCATTTTATAATTGCTATAAAATATATCGATATTTTTATGTGGATTTCCACTTTCTGACTCGTATCATGTTTGACAGTGAGAACAACTCCATGCCAACTGCTGTCAAAGGATTATGGTTGGCTTATTAAATTGTATCTGCAATTTGAGTTTGTTTTTACCTTTCATTATGAACTCATTCTCAAATATTCTCATTGCCTTGAGGACCTATTGATGGTTTTTTAGGTTTGTTTATTATAATATATACTTGATTCATAAAAAACCAGTATTATGATAATGATAATCATTTTGCTATTTTTACAACATGAACAACAACATGAAAGCTTGTGATAATATTTTGGCTCCCCCAAATAATTATGCCTGGGTCATTTATTCATTGGAAGAAATTGACATACAGTACTGTGACAATTTAATTAAGGTTTTTGATAGGCTATGTGTTTACGTTAACTTCAAGAATTGAAACACATGATTCTGGATTAATTAAATTGTATTTGTTATTGTCTTTTCTTGAATCTAGAAAGAGCTTCAAACAAATTTTACTAGTCTTAGAATAGATATAAAATTATTTTTTACGCCACACTACACTATTTTGACGAACTTGACATGCAAGGATTTAGTCCAGAAAACAGCTGTTTGTCGCCAGCTTAATCAAATGGGGTTTCATACAGTAGGCCTACTACTGTACTGTAATGAGTTTTGCCGGACACCAATCAGCTGATTATACTGTATTTGGGTGGTAATTAGTGGTTATAACAAAAACATAACCTCTCTTAGAGGTTATGACTAGTGATTTTTAGTCCTTAAGTTGGTGGTAATATATAGGGATTTGAACGGATTTAGTAGTATGGCGTAAACTATCGTACGTCACTCGTCCAAAATGTGTTGGCCGGACTCGTATAAAAAACCACTACTCGACTTCGTCTCGCACGGGATTCAGGACTAGTAACGTAATATTCTATTTTACCACACTATGATGTTTTAAACTGTTTTACATATAGGTACATTAATTGGTGGCTGAATGTTACGTTTTGCAGGCCATGCCAGCTGTCATCGTCATTCGGGGATCGAGCAGGTTTTTACATCCCTAGGGCCGCAAAATCAGCTGCCCGCTTACTTTCTTAAAACAATAATGCATATTAAATACACAATCAGTATCCATAGCATTGCAATAGAGTTGTTTTATTGTCACCGCTGCCTAGCAACTATTTATTATTATTTTTGCTGATTCCTCAAATAATTTATCCACATGACCTTAAAGTTGTTGTTGTGTTGACTATATATCAGTGTGCAAGGGCATTATCATTGAGGTGAATTAGTGGTAATAGGGTATAGTGTGGTGAATAATAGCGTTCGTACCACGGACTGAAATGGTTTTGTAGTTCTCGATCGTTTTAAGTCCTCGACTTCATATCGAATTTAAAAACTACCTCGAACCAGCAAAACCTCATTTTTGGCCCTAGGCACGAAATATACTATTAAGTTTAGGCCTAGTAATATTTTTGAGACTGAAAATGTTACACTTATTTAAAAAGGACCAAACTCAGAAGTGGATTAAAGGGCAATTTAGAAAATATCTCAAACTTTTTGATATAACTTTAAGTACTTTCTCCCCTACAATTTAATATGGTAAAAGAATTGTTTATGTAAAAACCCTGATCCCAAAAAATTGGTTTTCGAAGTGATGTGTTTGTCTGTCTGTATGTGTATGTATAATACAGAGCTACAGACCACGCCTGTGGTTCGAGTCCGATTTTGATGAAATTTGGTATTTTAGGTACCAATCCATGATCTCTCCAGATGTTTTTTTTTTCATTTTGAATTTTTAATAGTGATATTCTATAAAACCCTATAAAATAATGGATGAATAAAATTTTCTCAGAATTGGCCCGAACGATTTTGATTAAAAATTAACATGTTATACTCTTTGACTATGACAAAAATTGTATAAACCCTCTATGCCGTAAAAATTATGGTAGGTACAAAAGTTATTGCAACTTTTGTGATTTTCCCTTTTAAAACCTATTAATTCATGGAAAATCGGATAAAAAAAACTACATGGCCAATTTTTATTAAAATTGTGTGCATGTTAAAAATCCAACTCATTTAAATTAAAACTAAACTAACAAATAGTTTGGTACTAGAGTTTTAAAGCAAAATTGTCCATTTAAATTGGGTTAAAAGTTTGATTCAAACGCTTAAATTCCCATAAATTTAAAGAAGTGTCGGGGGCACCCCTTTCCTCCCCGCATTATAAACATAACTATGGGTTAGCCCCCAAACCTTCCGGCATGGGTTAAACAACGAATTTGGGGGGGATTCTGCGACGTGAGCTTTGGGGGGGATGGGCACCCCTGTTTAAATGTAACATGAAAACAAGGGTAAAATGAGTACAAGGTTTGTGTATATAAATATAAATAAATATATATATATATACATTAAATGTATGTTTAGGCCTATATGAAAAGTCTACAACGTGCAGTATCTGAATTCAATGCTTCTTGGTTGTTGATAATATTTTTATCCATTCAACTGGCGATCTTCTAAAACAATGTTTTTCTGTCTACAGGGTGATTTATCATGAGTTGGTGCAAACGACCAAAGAATACATGAGAGAAGTAACCACTATTGATCCCAAATGGCTGGTTGAGTTTGCCCCGGCGTTCTTCAAATTCTCCGATCCGACGAAACTGAGCAAATTCAAGAAGAACCAACGACTCGAACCTCTCTACAATAAATACGAGGAACCCAACGCTTGGAGAATATCTCGAGTCAGAAGAAGAAGAAATTAGGCCTAAACTGTTTTCATGAAAGTCAGTAAACTCACATTCTTGGACAGATTTTTAATGTAATAATATTTGTAGCAAATATTATTGTAATTCTATTTGTCTTGCTCGTGGTGTAAATATTGTAAATATTTATACAAATTTTACTTTTTGCAAGCCTACATACGAGGGGCACATAAATGTGTTTAATTTAATTATTGTATTTGATCAAGTGTTGTAATTTATATGAATATAATTTTTTAATGTATGATTTGGATTAATTTAACCTTGAATTTATAATAACTATAACCTGTATTGCTCAGCTAAAAATTTCAAAAAATGTGTTATACTATGATTCCTTTCTATGTTTCTTATATCTCATCAAGTCGCTTAGGTTTTATGCCCTCACACCAAGAACAAAGCTGTAGCTAGAGCTTTTACAGAATTTCTGCTTTTAACCAACTGTTCAAATCACACTAAACACGGCTTTTAGTGAGGATAATGGCTTAGAGTCTACCTTAAGCTATCCATTTACGATATATGAGAAACAATTTTTAGGTGAAATCTTCCTCTGTATCGAAAAACTCACAAATAGAAAGTAATAATGAAACCAAAAACGTATCATATAGATGGGCAGCAGATGTGTGGAGACAGGAAAAGCTTAAAATAATTTACTAAAATTTGTTTTGATAATACATTTTATTTAGAGTTTTGGAGAGTAGAAGAGACCATCATGTCAAGAGAGTTTCAGGGCAGCGATAGTGATGCACAAGGTTATGGAAGCATAGAGCAAAGAGATTACACAACACAATCATACACCAAAAAATGTATCAATAGGCTTGTGATTTTTTCAGAGTTTTTAACTGCAGTTAGTTTTCTATCTGTATTTAGGGTTATATAATTACCTTTCTAAATCTACTTAAAAGCTTTAATTGGACCAAATTTTTATGTAGGTCATATTATTTGAATTCAAGATTTTTAATTTGTTCAATGAACAAAAATAGACCATGTCAACAATTGTGGCTAAAAGTAGTATTAGGGGGAAAAGTTTATTTGTCCTAGGATGCTAGGCACGAGCCCGGGATTGTTTTTCACATTACTTCAGGCTAGACCTAGGGGTTGCAGCATTATCACTTAGATAAAATCCATTGGTGATTTGGTGGGGTTTGAACCCAGGTCCTTAGGGACCGAAGTCCCGCACTCTAACCACTAGACCAGCTCGCTCTGGGGCCAAAAGTAGTAACTGATGTGTAAAAGTTACACCTCAGTATCCTGGTCTTATGACCTGCACAGTCTAGCCACTACTACACAAGGCTTTATCAAAATTGATCAATTAAAAAGCTCAAAGACAGACTAGAGTAACCACACTATTAGAGTTCATTAACAACGAATTACCAACATGGAAAACTTCAAGGCGAAATGGCTACTTTGTAGTAGTTAAAGCATTAAAAAACTTTCAGAAAGAGTTTCAAGTTTATACTTACTCTTACTCTCAGGGCCATGCATATCTAAGAAGATACTTGGCCGCACCAACTCCTCTCCATCTTGCTCTATCCTCTGCATCCTCCTCAGTTGCTCCATGTCTTTCTTTACTTGGCTCCACCATTTTTGTTTTGGCCTTCCTCTCGGTCGTCTTCCTTCGGGATTTCTTAGTAAAACTAATTTTAACTTATTTTGCTCCTCTCTTCGTAAAACATGTCCAGCCCATCTAACTCTTCTACACTTAAATTCACACACCACATCTGGATCTCTGTAGAGTTCTCTCAGTTCTCTGTTGTGTCTCTTCCTCCATTCACCACCTTCATAAATTGGTCCATAGATTTTTCTTAAAATCTTATTTTCGGATGTGAATAACTTATTTTTTTCTTTTTTATTTGGTTTATACTGACTAATTATTTTATAGCTTTAAAATACTTCAACTTCAAAGATATTATTACTTCCAGGTTCCACCCTTAAGTAATAGCAACTGCAAAATATATCAACATTAAAGATGTAGAACTTTGTAATGTAATCAGTCACATTAATGGAACAACAAATTTTGAGTTAAGCCTACAAAAATTCCTAAGAATATAGAATAATTATTTTGACAAATCTACCAATGCTATTTTTTAAATTGTTCTCCTATTTTTTTCACTGAATATCTGTTAGTTATCTAAATGTTTTCGATTAAATATGAAGAAATCATAAAGCATATACTGGGTAAAAAAATAAAAATAAAATAATCTTTTTAGAAAACTTAAGATTCAATCAAATAAAACCAAAATCTTTGAAATCACTCAAAATTGTGTAACCTACATAAAAAATTTTATCCTTATTTATTCATGACGATCAATTAATGATGGATTTTTTTTTAATACTGACTGGAGTTTCCACAATTAATGTTTTTGGTGAAAAAAGCACATTTAAACATTAAATTAAATACATCCGGACACACTTTACAATAGGAAAAATAGGAAGACTGCTCACAATAAGTATAACTCTGAAATTTAAAGTTTACAGCTTTTTTTTCTTTCTAACCACTAAGTGTAGAGCAACGCTTCACTATACTTAATTATTTTTTTTTTTTATTTTAATCCCTACAAAATAATTTAGGATTAAAACTCCCATCCCATCCATTAATATTGTCCAATGGTCCAATTAACATTGTGCTAGTTCGCAAACTCGTTTGACTAAATATATGTGTACACGTTTGTTCAATTTCACCAAAACCGGATAATCTTTACTTGAATTATCAAGCTAACATACATATATATTTGAATCCAAACAGATGGCGTTTTTTACCTCTGGGACATCAAAACGAAAAATCAAATCGGTCCCAGGTCTAGCTCTTATTATAAGACCTATGGTAATAGCTTTTTTATGGGAAATTCACTAAAACAAAATCGACCCACTTGCAATTAAACTACCCACATAATTGTAAATTTATGAGCGAGCATCTTCTAGTGTTGTAATGAAGATGCGTGACGACTATAATGAAAGTAGAACAGTCAGCAGCAGTGCGGGTAATATAAGGCAACCCTATAATTATTCTACACAGACCACAGCTGGGAGAGAGTTGTGAAACCAGTCATTCACTGTGTGAACCTCCTGGCAGGATGACCTCAGAACAGGTACCGATGTTTTCAACATTGTAGCTACACAGTAGTAGATGAATAATAGTTCATCTGTAAATCTTAGATTATTTGTGAATGATTTTTGTGTTGTGTTTTAATTATGAGGGTAAAAAATATAGATTTAAAAGAAAGGACTTGTAGCAGATAGTAAACTGGAAATAATAAACTTTGCTGCTTAAAGCAATATTTTTTATAGCACTTTTATAAAGGGTTTTAATCATTTTTTTTTATTGTAAGGTGGTAATGGTCATGCAACAAAAAACTGTATTCTGAACAATTGAATGAATGGAAGTTTTTAGTGAACTTTAAATAAATAAGTAGCTTAAACCTATCGTGTAATTTCTCTGTAAATACATTTAGTAAGTTACTTTGTATTTCAACTTAATTAATCATTTTTGTTTTATGAAATTAAAAAAATACTGTTATTTCCATGTGGACTAACTAAGTAGGAATTTCTGGTTAACTGAAAATAAATTATAACTTAGCTTTAAATAACGTTACTTTCTTTGTAAATAACTTGGTTTATATGTTGTGTTGTTTGATTTCTTCGTAATTAAGTGAAAATAAATAGTCAACTGATATTTTCAACAACGGAACAAGCCTAGCTTTAAAAAATATTACGCTTTTGGTGGATATCTTACTCATATATATTTTGAGTTGTAAATTTGTTTTACAATATTAAAAACCATACCTTTTCCCCTTATTAATAAATAAACAATAATTTACAGTATCAATATTAGTAAAAATACAATTAATTAACCATAATTTAGACTAGTAAATTTTCAGTTACCTGTCAGCGTTTATTTTTGTATAATCAGCATATTGATGATTTAAATTATAAATTTATAATAAAATACTGATAATTACTTTGATGTTCATTTTCAGTCAAGTCTCACTAAGAAAATTGTTAGCCAATTTATTATAACATAATTTGTCATAATATCAGGGGCCTGCCACAAACTGCCTTAAAACTAGTTTTCATAACTCTTTGTACTTAGAAAACAAAACTAAAGAAAAAAGAGAAAAATCTGTAAACTTTGTCATTTTTTTATCTATTGGTCCTCGCCGACAAGTTTTGTAAACTTGGCGAGGCCATGCTTGTAATAATCCTAAATAAATATATTTGAATTTTGAATCAATTGTCTCAAAAGTACCACTTTAATATTTTTTGTTTCTTAGGTGTCTACTTTTTTCTTGTTTACTAAACTTTACTTTGTGCAATATACAAGTATTCTAGTAAATATTTTAGGCAATATTTAACTAGGTCTCTATACTGCTAAGTCATAGTTAACACTCTGTTTAAACATATTATTACTAAATATACATTTTCAAATTAAAAAATGTACAGTAATTTGCCGTGGTATTTACATTTATCCTAACAGAAAGTTTTAAGGATGGGTGAAAGTTCCAGGCAAAAACTCTCTCCTATTTCAGCTTTCTGTTTTAGGGATCAAATGTCATATGTACAGTTTTTTTTTACATCAAAGCAAATACAGCTATTAGCTACACATGTAAAGAAGTATTTAAAAGTTTAAAAATACTTACAGTACCATGTATCTACATTTTTGAGGTTCTGTGTCATGTAAAAAATAATTTAAATTGGTACTCTATAGAAAAAAATAGCCACAATTACAATACTAGAAACCAGAATTTACTTATATACCCTCATCATTCTACGGCATCTTTAGAAAGAAGTATTCATTACATGGGAATTAAATTGTTCAATAAACTTCCAAATAACTTAAAAAACACAGCAATGAGTCCAACACAATTTGCAGATAACGTTAAGAGTATTTTGATCAGAAAGGCCTATTATAAAGTTGACGATTTTCTAAATGACTCTCAAATGTTATAAGCAGGTCCTGTTACTTCCATAGGTAATATTTTATAGGGTAAAAAGTTCCTTCTCCATATTAATCTTGTTGATTTTTAAATGTTACATATTATATATATCGTTTTCTGTTGTGAAATTTTAATTAAGACCTTGTTATTGACTAAAATTACATGTTTTGTACATTTTTTATGTTTTATTTATAATTAAATTCTATAAATCCTGTTATTTAGTTTTAAGCTTGGCATTATCTTTTTTATTAAACCATTTGGCTAGTCTATTCAAAGAGTTTCCTCAAATGTTAAACAACTATATTTTATTTATTATTACTAAATACATTTTAAGAAAGGACATTATATAATATTAGGCTATAAGAAGAATGACGAAGCACCTGTGCATTTATCTGTAACCTTTGTACGTTATGTGCTAATAAACATGATTTGATTTGATTTGATTTGAGCTATGTAACCCCAATATCTGCTACTTTAAATACCTCTGATACTCAATATTGATTAGTCTTTTTTGTGCTAAAAAAAAATGACAAAAAGTTTATCAAGTACCGCTGAACCAACCTACTAAACCAGCAATAAGCTATTTTTGTTGCATTGAAACTGGAACCAGCTGTTTTTATATTGATTTTTCAGTGCAGCAGATTGTTTGAGTTACATACTGTCTTTGCAATACAGATTTGTTATTTCACTAAGGTCGTTTCAGGGATTTTCGGGTGCATAGTCGACTAAATTATTGTACTGTAGTTATATTTTTAAAGATATTTCTTCATTTTCATTGTGTCTGGTTAATAAACAAGACACAACACGAAAACATTTAGGCACGTGCACAGCTTAAAAACTGGCAACCAACTGATGAATAAATCTCGTAAAATATGTAAATACAACTGAAAGTCATAACAGTAATCATATAGTTAAGTGTAAATCTACACACCTGACGAAGGAGTAATCTCTGAAATGGCTGATGAAACAGCTGATCTTAGTCAGCAACAAAGCATATTTCTCTCATCCAAAACCCAACATCATAATTTCGATAAAAATATACACCCAGTTTTGTCCCCTCTTAATGATGTAGCAATTAACTTGTTTCTAGAAGTTCCTAGAAGCCCAGGAGCTAGTAAAGACTCTCACAGAAAGACCAACTGATGAAGAATTCCTTGAACTTTACTCTCTCTTCAAACAAGGAACTTTTGGAGACAACACTACAGGTACAGTATTTGTAAATTCTTACTTTAACGATACGTTTTCTTATTCTTTCTATGCAAGTGTGTTGCATATTTTTAGGACCTTCATTTTTAACAGTCCATTCCATTAACCTACTACAATAATTTATCCCAGTACCATTTTTCCTTACTTTGATGATTTATTTGTGAGTAAAGCGTATCGAAGCGAGCGAAGCTCTTATACTACATTCTTGCTTTTGTTTTACAAATACTCCTCCTGAACAGCTGAAGCGATCTGCACGAAATGTAGCATAGTCATAGTAACCATAACCATGGGAAGGTATGAATCTGAAATGGTACAAATCGGACTACAGGGCTTTTCCCTACACTAATTTAAACTTTTAGAAATCTAACATGGGCATTAAGGGATAATTTGCCGCCATGACATTATTTGCGAGATAACAATAAAATGGTAAACAAGATTCAAACACTTTTTTTTAATCAACAAATCATCTAAAATAGAACTTTTACAAATACCGTACTGAGAAAAAGGATGAACAATCGGATTCATTTACGATTCATTTACTACGAAATGAATCCAATAATTAGGGTTGCCGGAATTAGGCTGGATGCACCACTGACTTTAAATACTCCAAATATCCATTCCATTTACGTGAACCTAAGGCCTACCATTGAGTTTGGATGCTGTAAGTAGACTTTCCATTTATGTGAAGTAGACGTACCAGTACCATTAATGCAGACTTTGAATAGGTACGGCAAATATAAATTCCATTAATGTGAACCAAAGATACCATATTGAGTTTGGATACTGCAAGTAAAACAATTCGTTTACGTTAACCCGACGTATTATTGACTTTGAATACTGCAAATAGGCATCTTATTTATGTGAACCAAAAGTACCATTGATTTTGGATACTGCAAAGTAGATTTCTCATTTATGTGAAGGTGTACCATTGATTTAGGATACTAACGTGCAAGTAGACATTCATTTACGTGAACCAAATGTACCATTAAGTTTGGATACTGCAATTAAACAATGGATAAGCGCACCAAAACATAAATGATATCCCGAAAATTAGCAAGTTCAAGTTAGTAATTTAACATTCACATTATAGCTTAATGGTTAATTTACTATTGAAAACAACTATTGAAAATACTTGCATACCTACTTTAAAGCAATTAGGGTGCATATTTTAATAACTAATTATCAAAATTACTGTTGTGTCCGTTTTACAGACTGACATAATTAGTCATGGTTAGTCAGCAACCTAGGAATGTAATTTGCATACAAAGAACAATTATCATTTTAGACTACTGAGTAAGTTTGTTACAACAAGTGTCAACAACAGTGGTCCATTTAGGAGTACATTACTGTACATAGCAACAAGTAAAGCACACACTGTGACACCCCCACCTCACTAAACTTCCATTTTTTTGGAAATTTCCATTTTTCCAATTGGATTTTTTTTTTACTAAAATATTTCCTTAAATATGTCAGAATTATTCACTATTTAGTTTACAGGGCCTCTTGTAAATGGGCATGGGCCCATGGGCACAAGAGGATTTAGGTGTGTTGGAGGTGGAGGGATAGGGGAGGGGGCAGAAATATCTCTCGGACCCGGCGTGTCACATGAAAACCGTGGGCCTGCCTATTTAAGTAACATTATGTTTGCAAGTACCAACTCAGTAGGTTCAGAAAGACCTTGGTTTGCTGCTATAGGGAAGGAAAAAGGAATTTTTGTAAAATGTTAATAGGAGTATAGCCGATATAGTATGAAATAAATTTGCCAAATCTTATTACAGTAGTCTCCCACTTATCCGGACACCTTTTAACCGGACATCGGTTTAACCGGACTACATTCGGAGGGAATTACATCTCTTTAACCGGACAATTTTTATCAGCACATTGGTTTAACCGGACTAGATCGGCAGGAAGTGGGCGGTACTGAAACGACTGTTCTCGAGGGAAAGATTTGAGACCAGTGATCACATGTCTAAATACAATGCTCTCCTAAATTTAAGTTGAATATCACAGTTAACGGTCCATTTTAACGAGTTTTTGGGGATGTCGGTTTTAGCCAGAAAACCCGTTTTCCGGACTGGCCTCGGTCCCGAGGAGTCCGGATAAGAGGGAGTCTACTGTACAATATCTCCACAAACAAGCATTCTACAACAGTTTACTTTTTCTCTATTAAAAAACACATTCATGATCATTTTAAATGCGAGTACCTTAATATAAAGAAAGATTGTTTGTATTATCTCTCTCTGTAACCTTTACTTGTACAGCAACGCTTCAATATTAAAATAATTTGTTTTTGAGCTCTACACACGATAGTTGAAAGAAAAATTTGAGATTGTCATGGTTTAAGGGTAATAATTTGAAAAAATCCTATTAAAAATTTTTTTAACTCCATAATACCTTGTTCCTATGACCCGATATAGCAGGTCCGTGAACTGATTCAAGAGTATCCACCCCTAGCCGATCATGCCAAATTTAACCATGAATCAAATAAACACATTTCAAAAGAGTCTTTAAATTTAAAATGGGCAAAAAGTGTAGGTGCATAATCCCAAGTCAATAATTATATTTTTTCTTCACAGATAAGCCTGGTTTTCTGGATTTGAAAGGAAAATACAAGTGGGAATATTGGAACAAGAAGAAAGGAATGGCTAAGGAAACAGCTCAAGAACAATATGTCGCTTTCGTACAAACACTGCTAGAAAAATACGCACACACGTGACAATCTACTAGTAAAAATTGTTTGATTATAATAATTGTTGCTTACCTTAGTTTAGTTTATTAAATTATTTGTTGATGAAAAATGTGTTGACCCCTAAAAGTTCAACTACAACATAATTTGTTGTAGGTTTAATGATGTTTTTATAGATATAAATGACTTCCACAGCAATGTACTTCAACATTTATTCTAAAGCTCAATAAAAACAATACTGTAATATTTACAACTGTTATACCTAATTAGAGGACACATTTTAACTCTTTTTAAGAAATTTGTTACAAAACCATTTACAGTAAAAATGTACAATTTCAAAAATAAAATTATATCTACAATATTATAAAAATATTTTGATTGGTTTGCTTCTTTCATTACCTTGTCTTATTGATCATAATTCAAAGATATTATGAACGCAAATTATGACATTGTGAGATGAGAACGTTGAAAAAAACGTTTCAGTTAAAAGGGGTTTGTTGCTCCGAATCTTTTCTTGTTTACATCTCGAATTCAAAACAAGATCTTGAGCTTAAAACCCCTCATCAACCAGATTTGAAACTGACTGTGTACGGTAATAATAGGTTTTGAAAAATATTCAATATTCATGTACATTTGAAGCTCAAACTCTGAGCATATCCTCTTCATCTTGCAGTTTTTGTACATCTGACTTATTCATGAAGTAGTAACTCGGCTGTCGTCCTTTCTGAAAACATATTTCTTCCATACTATAACAGTAAAGTTGCATTTTTCACATTTAATCCAAACCAACCTATAATAGTAAAATAAACATATAATTGACACATACTTTCTCTCATAAAGCCCCATTCACACGGGGCGAGTTTACAAGCTACACGCAGGCTTTTTTACACTCAGCTAGTAAAATAGCTCAGTGTGAACGACGTACTCGCTCAAACGCTGCTTGTAAAAAAGCTCTGGAAAAAGTTGACAGTTCCGCTACTTTACACGCCAACTCACCAGCTTTTGAGCGAGTAGGCGTGTAAAGTAGCCCAGTGTGAACACAATTGCTTGTGCTTGTGCGCATGTTATTCGAAGAAGTCGGAGGATTTAGTTCAAGCCAGCTACTGAGCGAGTGGAAAAAGCATCGTGTGAAAGACTACAAGCGCACTCGCCGACTCGCCGGCGTCTTTCTACACGTTGACGAGTTGGCGAGTGGACAAGCTCCGTGTGAACAAATACAAGCGCACTCGCCAACTCGCCGGCTTCTTACATGCTGGCGAGTAGCGTGTAAACTCGCCCTGTGTGAACGAGGCTTTAGCTTGTCTACAACCCTTATCATAAAAAACTTGGAGATACTATTATAGGTCGGCCGGTTAGAAAGCGTCCTCCTCGTAGCATTGGTGCGAGAGAGAGATACCGAGCTGTGGGAGTGAGACAAACTATGGCTCTTCCCCCTCTCTGCTGCCACCCCACCCCCAACATTGTTGAATTGCAGCTCAAATATTGACAGCAATTAAATTATACAGCTGATCAAAATGAAACAGCTGAAACAATTACGTTCTTCATAACTTGAGAAAAATAGGTCCTGCAAAAATATTGTATAGCCTAAATTGCATAAATATTTGAGCACCATTAAATTGAATTATATCATTGTGCAAGCAGTTCCATTTGGTAACACAGGATTCTAACTCCCACGATAACGGGGCGGCGCCGTGTCGGTGTCGTGCCGGTGTCGTGTCGCGCAGTGTGAAAACGGCCATTGGCGGAGAGGGGGGACATACCCTCCCTCGCCGTTACCTCCCCTCCATGCGCTAAAAATTTCGCGCAGGTCGTTTTCTAAGCGGCTGACCTATAGTACCCCCACATACAAAATTTCATTACAATCGGATCACAGGTGTGGTCTGTAGCTCTAAACACATTCAGACATACAGACATTTCCACTTTTTGGTTTTCTTTTAGGGGGACGCAAAACGAATATTTCCTCCCAAAAATTTGACAAAAACAATCATTTCTCCATATATTTGACTAGGGAAAACGTTCTCTCTTTCCTTAATTGTGTTATTAAAGCACCATCATCATGTGTTAATGGTTCTGCTTATATGACCTTTATCAAAGACGCTCTTGAAAAAAGTGTATTGCTTTTATAAGATTTGAAAACCACTGATATGAAATGAAATGAAATGAAATGAAAAACGTCTTTATTAGCCAGCGTTATTCAAAGTACAGTTCTTTGATTTTCAATACAACTGTTGTCAAACTAAACGTAATTGGTCAGCTTATACTAGACTTATTGCAACAATACATTTTAGATCAACTGGCTAATTATTATCGGTATAAAATAAATCTTTCAAACCCCTTTTAAACCTAGAGAGGTTTACTGATTTGAGGTCAGTTGGAAGGGCATTGTAGGCTTGGGGCCCAAAGTAAGAAAAGGCTTTCTTCCCTAATTCCGTTCTGACCCGTGGCAAGTGTAGCAAGCCTTCCTGCCGAGTGAGGCGAACGCTCACCTCAGACCTGAAAACCAGTTTCCTTCTGATGTATTGGGGACACTCCGTTAACAAAGTTTTATGAACAATTAGAACGGTTTGAAGATCACAGCATTGTTTAACTGTCAAGATGTTTGCCCTTGACCTATACTCGCTGATATGATCCGACCTTTTTAAGTTGAAGACAAATCTCAGAGCACTGTTCTGAAGTCTTGTGAGAATATTTATATTCTCTTGAGTAAGGCTGTTACCAAAAGAGGGAAGAGCATAATAAATAGATGGAAGAATTATAGCACGAACTATTTCAAGTTTGGTTGACATTGGTAGAACAAACCTAAACCTATTAAATAATCGTAATTTAGCAACAACAGTTTTACAGATGTGTCTCACATGTTCAGAAAAATTGAGCCTAGAGTCCAATTTGACACCAAGGAATTTTAATGAATCGCTAACAGGCAACGGCTTATCATTTAGAAGAACTTCACAATCAGTATCCTTGTTGTGTTGGCTTTGCACAGAGTAGTTTACGATTCTTAAAACAGAACACTTGTCAGGATTCAGCTGAAGACCATGATCATTAGACCATTTATTAACACTTATCAAGTCGCTATTCATGCTGCTTCAGGAAACTCAGCCAAAGGGTAAGATAAAATAATGTGCGAGTCGTCGGCGTAAGAATGGACAGAGCAGTGACTAAGCTGTGACTCAAGGTCGGCAGTGTAAATCAGGAAGAGGATAGGACCTAAGCAACTGCCCTGGGGAACCCCCGACACTTTTGGTAAAAAATGTGAAACCTGATCATTAACTCGAGTTTGTTGTGACCTATTACGGATATAGGAGGAAAACCACTGCACAGATCGACTATCAAATTGGTAAAAACTCAGTTTGGCTAACAGAAGATCGAAACTAACTGAATCGAATGCCTGTGAAAAGTCCAAACCAGTTACAATACTACCCCAATTTCTATCTCTTGCACCAATCAATTCATCCATGACATTCAGAAGAGCTGAACTAGTGCTGAACCCCCTTCGAAAACCTGACTGTGTTTTAGGAAGAATTTCCTCTGACTCAAGATACGAGACTAATTGCTCTCCAATCACTTTTTCCAATATTTTGGAAAGCACTGGAAGAATTGAAATGGGTCTGAAATCAGAAACACATGAAGCATTGGTCTTTTTTGATAGCGGAATTATAATACTCTGTTTCCAGGCACTGGGAAAAATGCCAGTAGTCATGGATAAATTTACAAGATGACAAATAGCAGAATCACAATAATAACTCAACGATTTAACCATATCAACAGAAATGCCGTCCACACCAACAGCTCGGGTTGTGATGCTGTTCATGACATCCCTGATTCGTTTCTCTGTCACTAGACTGAATGAGAATTTATTCTTCACTTGGCTACTTTTGTTCTCAGCGTAGAACTCAATCCTGCCCCTGTCTAAACAACCTTTGCCGCCCATTGTGGAGAAATATTTATTCAAGTCCTCAGGAGAGAAGGTACACTCATTTTCTCTGCTCGAGCCCAGTACGCCATTGCTTCTCAACGATGACCAAAAACCTTTTGGGTCCTTATTCTTTAATTGACTTGAAAAGAACCGCTTTTTTGCGCTTCTTATGGCCGAGTTTAATGTGTTTCTTGCTTTAGTGTAAGCAGATCTGGTCGAGCTGTTCCTACAACTCAAGAATGCTTTATGGCAATTGTTCTTAACTTTTGTCAGAGACAAAATATGATCGTCTCTCCATGGAGCTCTTTTCCTCGTTACACGTCTTCTCACAACCGGTGCACAAGAATTGAAAATGTGCAAAATTTTATTATTTAGAGCATAAACAACTTCATCAACTTCTTTGAGGGAAGCTATTTCATCCCAGTCACACTTTGATGCTAGTTCGGTAAAGAGGTCCACATCAAGGTTTTTCAGATTTCTGTAAGTTACATATTTCGATTTGCTCTTCTATATGGCTTTTAACTAGTTTCAACTAGTCTAAATCGTCAGGCTCAGTCATAAACAAAAAGGAGTCCCTACTAATTATTTAGTACTACTCAGTAATGCTTCCTATATTGTTATGGGCAGGAACTAGACAAAAGTTCAGCATTGAAATGAACACTAGCAATTTTATGATGTAACTATTTTTTTTATATTGACACAAAATGAACCAACATTGTTACCAACATTACCCAACATTATCCAACATTATTGAACCAACATTGTCGCGATGTTGCCAGTGTGTGTGGGGGGGCGGGGTGCAAATATTGGGTACTTTTTAGCTTTATCTATAGTAGGGTAAACTTAAATAGCTAAGTCATGTAACTGAAAATAAACTATACAAACCAAGTCTTTGACAACCCGTGTTGCTCCTGATTGGATCAGAATTTTACTGAGTGTCTCCACTCTTTCCACTCCCATCGCATAGTGAAGAGGTGTTCTCATGAGCTGTCAAAAGATTTCATCAACAGTATTATTCTATTGAAAATTCTAACAAAACTTAAAAATAGATGTATGGGACAGTACAAAACCTTTCTGAAGCAGACTTTTCTTGAAAGCTATTAAGTCAATAAGACTCTAATAGACAATACTGCCAAATTTGTTGTAATTATCTGTAATTTTAATTTAGTAGGAACCATCAAAATCCTAAAACACAAGGATTGATTTACCTATTTGAGTATCAAGCAGAATTAAAATAACCCTTTGTAAGGTGATGTGATGAGTCAAGTACTACTTGTTAAGTGTAACCGAATATCCACTCAAATTGATACTTTGTTCTACACTTGAGTACTAGAAGACTTGATTGTTAGTTCATGACTTCATCCCTAATTGATTCTTTATCTGCAGACAGGACTCAGATGTGAATGTTAAATAAAATTCATATATTTTTCCGACTCCACACTACAAGACAACGGCTTGAATGCCGAGTACTTTAGCACTCAATTCAGATGCCTCCAAATTTCCACTACAAATCAAAAGAGCCGGAACATCATTCAATAACTAACTCGAGCAAGAAGAATCAAGTACATTCAACTTGTGAACTAAATTGTTGTCTCGCCATATCATAATTTTGTAATTACAAACTCACGTTGTCGCCCACTGTAAGTGTCTGGGGGTAGTGGGAGGCAATGTGTTGTACGATGTGGTCGTGTTGGTTCAACACCGCGACGTGGAGACTGCAGCGAGAGTAAGAGTTCTTGGCAAGCGCTAGTCCGGGATTGTTACGCAGCATCTCATGTACCTGGCTGTCACTAGCCAGTCTGATAGCTCTGTGCAATCGTTCTCTGCGGTCCTGCAAACATTACAGGGTCGTTAGAATAATTTATTAATTTAGTTTAATTCATTGACTTTTAGATAGGTAAATAGACATTCCATTTATATGCATATCCTGTAGACATTTTTTTACTAAAATAGAACAAAGTCAACAAAGTTCTATGAGCTACAGAATTTGCTACAGTCTACAGTCTATTTTAGTTTCTCCCTTAGCTTTTGTCCCACCTTCACATCCTCGGATGATATTATGCTCTAGCCCCAAACCATTTACCAAATGATAGTAGCTTCAGGCTAAGCCTAAAGGGTTGCAGCGTTATCACTAAGATAAAATCTATTGGTGATTGGACGTATTACGTTTTACCACTAGACCCGATCACTCTCGTTACTGTAATAGTAGATATGATGCAAAAAATGCTGTGTTATGAACCCAAAGTTATCTATTCAGTTTTGGCTTGGTAAAAAGAGTTGGTGTCTTTGACAAATAATTTATTACATTAGCGCACTTTGTTGGTGCAGTAGCTGAATTAAAGCATGTGCATTCTGATTCTAAACTAACTACAAACTTTAATGTGGGAATGTCTAGTTTTATCCATTAGATCCATAGAATATACAGTGCTCGATCATTCAAATTTGGGTTTAAATACATCTGTTTGTAGTGGTAAAGGTGATGATAAACTGACAGAGTCGATATTGTGTCAAGTTACCTCAAAGTTAGCGATGGAGTCGAGGAAGGCTAGGACCTGGGTTTGTCCACGCTCATTGGCCACCTCGACAATACTGGCTTGGTCATCGTGGGTGTCCAGAATGTGGTCATAACCTTCGAGGAGAAGCTCACGAAGTTTGTCTACTTGACCTAAACCATTCAATATATCATTGTAACCATACTAGTGGCTTGTAGGGGCAATAGCCCCTATAAATATATATTCCTTGTACAAATTATTCGTCTCACGGGTTACCCTACCTTGATTGTCGTTTAACATTTTTTAATATTATAATATGTATAATAGTTATTACATACCTGCATAATGCATGTTGATGTCTGCTCTATTTAAAATAAAAATTACAAAGGACTTTTCATGCGGCGTGTTTATAATATAAATTTTCTAATCATAATACAACTAAGGAAAACTTTCAATAATAATCTTCATGACTATAAAAATATACAAATTTCTTTGAATACAGACAAATTCACTTGGATAAAACATATGGAGATAAATTGTTCAAATAAATGCCAATTTTTGTGAAAACTTTCCTTGTAAACTGAGCCGTGACATGTCCACCAAGCGTCCCACCAATGTCACGCCTCAGTGTTTTTTGTATAGTGCGAGTGCTGGCCTTGCGCCGGAACTCAATCGGTTTGGGTCTGGCAGCAGTCCTGCAGACCCCGGGACATTTTCCGCTGCCGAGCACATTTTTTCGGCAGAAGAACAGCGACTGTCATCGTTTCATGTCAAGTTTTGTGTTTGTAATGTTATTTTATATCAGTTAACATCTAGTCACATTTTTACTGTGCTTCGTGTGAACCAATTTCTTGTAACATGTAATTAAACGGATTGCCAGTCGTCAGATGAGGTCCCGGATGTGAGGTTTCATCAGCCGCTGTCCTCGGAGAGGGTCGCCCGGAGGGACACGCCATCTTCTGCCTCCTTGGGCTGCCTACGGCCCAGCTTCTCCGGGGACCATTATGCCGCCCTCTATACAAACATCCGGATGTGATGTTTTCCGACATCCAGATGGAACACCGCCACTAGTGTGATGTGAAAAGTGCCACCTAACGCAAGTTATTTTTGAAAATATCAGCTTTTTTAAAGACTTAAGCTCTAAAGGGGATCCCAAATTATTTATTATCGTTATTTATTTTTAAGCTAATTGTTATTTATTAATTTGAAAGTTATTTATTTATTTATTTAAAGAGAAAGATTCCATAAAGTATATTTACAGTTACCATCTTTAATTTTTTCTTGTTAGGCCTAATTTGTTACTGGTACCAGTTTTGTAATTCAGAAGGGTAAATTTTTTGAAAGATTTTTTAAATGAATTCTTTGGATGGCTGACATTGTTGATTATTGTTATTTGTTGAATTTTGGAATTATTATAGGCTTTGTTGACAACTATTTGTTTTGTTTTGATATTCACCCACGGCCTTTCACTAGTTAGGGATGTGGGGCGGCCACTCGCACTGTCACTATGGGGGGGCATGCTTCCTTTAGTTGTTCGTCTGGGGGCGGTGCGAGGGGTCGGCTCATTAGGCATATTAGGATCGATGTTAAACGGCATATTAGGATCTGTAGATATTATAGTTTTATTTTTGGCATGAAAAATGTGTTCCCTTTGCTTACTCCAGTAATTAATTACTAACTTTACACTTTTTTCAGACGTTACTAACACAACCAATCGTACTAATCCAGACCCTAGCTTCATATTTCTAATGAGCATCATCACTATTGAACCAACTTTTAAAACTAATTCGTATGGTTGCATTCCAGATCGTGCAATTAAACTTATATAGTCAATTGGTATGTTCAACCTCTCTTCAGGGTTAGTATACATATTACAGTGCATATTAAATATTAACATTATGCTTTAAATGAAGTTAAACCACATGTTTTAAAGTAAACAAAGCAGACATGACCTAGATTCCCATGTTATTTAAATGTGAATTATTTTATTCCATAACAACCTTTTGGTGCATAATCAAGAAAAATGAATAATTTTCCCCAAAACTTCATGCCCAGACCTTTAAAATGAGACCTCTCCCAGCTTTCTACGGCCTCCTGTTCGCTCACAATTTCATTGTAAAATTTTGGGCTTACGGAATTAGATATATAGATAATAAAATAAAATATAGCAACTAGTTTTTTAAGATTTTTTTTGCTATTATGTGTTAGATAGTAAAAATACCAAGGTTTAGAATGATACATTGCAAAAAAAAATTCCTTCTTTTTTTCTTTTTTTTTTGTCCTAGGATGTAGGTACGAGGCCGGGATTATTTTTTATATTACTTCAGGCTAGAGCTAGGGGTTGAGACATTATCACTTCTATTAATCCATCCATTGGTTATATGGTGGGATTTGAGCGTGGGACCTCAAGTTCCACGCTCTAACACTAGACCAGCTCGCTCCCTATTATGTTAGATAGTAGCAATACCAGCGTTTGGAATGATACATTACAAAAAATATGCCATTGATGTTGGAAAAAGCTAAAATATTAACTTTCAAAGTTGACTAACTCTATTAAACATTTAAATAAACTAAAAAGCCTGTCTAAATCCAATTAAACTCATCACCACAATAGTATTGATTGTTGCAATTTTGGTAAAAAGTCAATTATTAGTCGTTTAGTTGCCTAAAAATTCCCTAGATATATTAACCAGGGTACCAGGGTACTTAGGCATAAGCCTAACCTAGTATAAATCTTCCTTAAATGAGGTGTTCACAACAAAACCATATCACAAGCTACGGAGTAAAATAATAAATGGAGTACTCTTTTAACTTTTGCCAAATTCCAGTTCCCAAATAGGTAAGTATGCTATATATTTCTTGGTAGGGGACAAGAGATTATTTTTACTCCTGATGCAGTAAAAGTAGACTGAGAACAGGAGTCTGGTGATACCTAAATCATCTGCGTTTCTCACTCAAATTCTAAATTAACCTCATATTTAAACATTCTGACTCAACAAACCCTCCAACTGACTCACCTGTGGCTGCTAAACTGACAACATATCTGTCAATAGCTTCCACATTATCCACCAGGCTGACTTGCAGCGCAACGTCTCGCGGAGTACGATACAACTCGTCACGCAACGCGATGTTGCAGTCTATCTCTTGCAACATCTGCAGAACTGCGTTGCGACCGTGAGTCCTGGCCATCGCGAAGTGGAGAATCATTTGGCCAAACTCATCCTGCCAAATTAGATAAATTGCATAAAACTACTTAAACTACTAGTCCCACTACTTTATTTCACAGTTTTTTCTAATTAATTTTAAAGTTAGTTTTTGTGTTTTGAGCCTTTATATTAAAAGAATGCCTAATAATTTATCTCATATAACTCTCTTATAACATAATCATCAAAATCCAAATTCTTATCACAATACAAGATGATAGACAGTGTATGCAATGACCACCCGCAGTCTAGCTAGACTCTACCCCTGCCGGATTCACATTTGACTAAATCAGCTGGTTTTTTAAAATGTTAATGTGTAGGGTGTTTTTGTGTCGTTAGTGTTTGACTATGTACTGTTTTTTTTTTACTTAAATTGACGGTCTCAAAAGAGTATGACTACATTAGTTGGTACTGTAGTATGTTCTTGTACAGCCTGAAGATGACACCAACTTGTTGCTGAAACTAGTTGATCCAAGCAATTTTAAGGATAAAGCAGATATACATGTACCCCATTTGAATAATTACATGTTTTTTTTTTTTTTTATATGATGATGCACTATCCACTCACTGATGATCAATATTATTTAAACCCTTGTAAAAATTACATTTTGTTAATTTAGTTAAAAAGTGCTTCGCTGTAATCGTTAAACTATATCCAACTTATGTGACACCTGAGATATCCCGTTCCCAGACAGCACACTTTATCCCAGGGACATCCCATAGTAGTCCCATATGTCCTGAGAATGTCTCGGAATATGTACGCTAGCCTCAGGATAAAAAAAAAAAAAATCCCCGCAAAATCCCGGGACGAGTACGAAATCCACAGGATATCCTACAATATACCGTAATGTCCTGGGATTTGTAAGTTAACCTCAGGATATCCTGTAAGGTCCCGGGATATGTACGAATGCCATAGGATATCCCAGAATGTCCCATGACATCCCGGGACATGTACAAAATCCACTGGATATCCTGTAATGTCCCGTAATGTCCCAGTAACAAACTGAAGAAAAAAACTACTACCACTGATGAAATGTATATCTAAATTTAAATGTTCAACAAGGCCAATGTATAATAATTTGTTTTATACACTGGCGCTTTCAGAAACTAGGTTTCCATCTTCAGGCTGTGTTTACACTTACTAGTACAAAAAGTAAATTAATTTTAAACAAAGTTAAAACAGATGATTTAAAATTAATATTGGAAAAATAAAAAAATAATATTAGAAAAATTTATCTTTTGAATTTTGGATATACTATTACAGTGTTGTTCTTTATGTAATTATTTTCAGTAATTCCGAGTTTATAATTGGGCCATCTTCATTATTTAACAAATAATTTTGGTCTGTTTTTTCTATAAAATAAGATTCCCACGCATTAAGATGTTGAGGTTTTATAATTTGTTTTAAAAGTTTAAGGTTTCCCAAATTGAAAATATGTCTTGTTAATACTGTGGCTAGCAAGGGCTGACTTTACACTTTACTGACATTTTACTACCACTGAGTTCAGGATAACTAGAGTTCTATCATAGTTGTGTGAAACGTGTATTTAATTCTAACTTTAAATTAATAAAATAATCTAAAACAAATTTTAATCATATAACAATCAATTATAACAGCGCTAATCTAATGGTAATTAAATAATCTATATTATATTCAAATGCCAGTATCCTCTCCAACTACCAGAAAAACAATTCAACTACTTTTTGAGGCCTAAACAGATTAACAGAATCATATTATATATTGTAGTATCAAAAATATTTTAAGTATTGCGACCATTGCAACTGTCGGCTACTCTTTCACCACTTGAAACCACTCATAATCATCAAGCACAGATAGCTCAGGAGGTAAAAGGTATGAGGCTTATAAGGTGAAGGTACCAGGTTCGAGACCCGTCTGGGTCAAAAACTTTTTTCTCGTTTTTTTCTTCAAAATTGGTGTTTATTAACTATTTAATCAATTTACTCAACTGATAATAAAGCTTTTCATACTAAATCTATATTATTTTGTGTTTTTTATTGTTCAGGCCCAGACCACACTTTATCCCAGGGACATCCCATAGTAGTCCCATATGTCCTGAGAATGTCCTGAGGACTACCCTGGGATGACCTCGGATATCCCACGGATATGCTGTGAGCTTATCCGTAGGACATCCCCGGGCGGGGACATTACGCATTCCTGCGGATATCCTGGGATATCCCAGGTTGACCATACGACTACTATGGGATATCTTGCATATCCTGTCGCAATATCCGTAGGATGTCCTGAGGAGAAAGTGTGCTGTCTGGGTTACAACAAAAAAATGGATTTATGGCTTTGCTGTGTATTTTGTAAATTCCTAAGATTGTACTAACAAGTTTAAGACAAATGAGGAGTCTCTTATAATGCAGTAAGATTATAATTAATGCACTAACCCTTTGTACAGGTTTAAAAACTGATTGTGGGGGTTCCGGAGTAGTGATTCTTGCTTCTTCTTCAACCCTCTGTTCAACCACTCTCTCAGCCTCCGCGTTGTGTGGAGGAGAGGAAGCAAGGGGAGGGGAAGGGTGATGGGGAGGTGGAATAGGAAGAGGATGAGAAATAGGAAGAGGAGGAGGGGATGAAGGATGAGGAGGAGAGGGAGGAGGGGATGTCAGATCTTGCTGTTCTCCCTCAAAGTAGTTCTCTTCCAATCCCTTCCAAACAAAGACATGTCTTAAACTTCAGTTCATCTATACTATTATAAAAAAGAGGTGGTTGCTGTATGTGTGTATGTGTGTATGGGAAAAGTAAACTCGAAAAATACTGGTCGGATTGGGCTGAAATTTGGCATGATGATAGCTCACATTCCCGATTAACATATAGGCATATTCTTATTTCAAAAATCCTTTCGGGCTCCGCCCCAGTGGCTCTGGAGTTTCCCATGTTAACCTTATGAGAAATGGAATTATTGAATATTAACAGCTGTTTCAATTAAACAAGTTGGTTCTGTTCTATGATGTTCAATAGTATTAAAGTTACAAGGATTACCAACAGGGTGCAGCACTATTATTTCTTTTACATTTATGACAACAGCTAATTTGCAACCAAAAGGTGAGTGAGCGTAGCGAACGAACTTCAACCTGGAGGCGAGTTAGCGTAGCGAACGAGCTAACCTGAAGGCAAGTGAGCGCAGCGAACGAGCTCCAACCTAAAGGTGAGTGAGCGTAGCGAACGAGCTCCAACCTAAAGGTGAGTGAGCATAGCGAACAAACTTCAACCAGGACGTGATTGAGCCATGCGAACGAGATAATCTTGAAAATTAAGAAGTTAAATGGGGCAAAGCCCGCGGGTTACAGCTAGTATACTATAACTGTAACATAGATTGTTTTGTCAAATTATCTAAAACGCATTATTATAGCTAGGCATCTGAGTGGATAGAACTACAACTCTAGGAGTAGTTAATCAAAACATCTCCAACACCATGGATCAAAGCCAAACCACCCTGTCCTTTGATCATTAAGTTTTTAATACCTTCAATTACTACAAAATACACATCCTGGTATGTACAGTTTACGTCATGTAGCGTAGCAATGTAAAAAGAGAAGGCTATGTAGCAGCAAATTTGTCTATTCAAAATTGCAATAATTTGGAACCATGTCATACAACAAATATTAGTCCAATCTTGTTATATTGAATGATATTTACAGACTTTAATCAAATATTTACTTACCCGGGTAGTGTCATTTTCAGGAATCTCCTCATAGTTGTGAAGGTAGTCAGCAAGATATCTTACAGGATCTGGAGGTTTTCTAGAAGCAACTTCTATCAACCCTGCGATCAGGGGACGTCCCAGGGCTACCAACACAACAATAGTATAAAATCTAGCAAAAAATTCAAACCATATTGAAATATTTCATTTTGGTGTTATGCAATTTTAGATATATTTTAAGGTTAAATTGATACATTCTTCCAAAACATTCACCACATTTAAATACAGATAACTGATAGCTATATTTTTTATAAAATATTTAGGGTTTCTTCTTCTTGTGACATCTAATGTACAGGAAATAAAGCAAAACAGTTTTTATTCAAATTTACAGATTTACATATTTTCTTGATATGTCAATGGACTAAGTTCAAGACTGAGCGTCTACTGCTGCAGCAAACTATATCCACTAGACAGCGTGGCGGTGTCGCCGCTTGGATCGTGCTGCATACGTGTGTGTACCTTCCTTCTCTTTCACACTTTGACTCTAGTGGAATGAATGGAATGACTTGCACTAGTGGAATGAACAATATTTTCACCAACTATTAAGCCATTTTTAATTACTATAAGATGCTTGTTTTTACTTAACTAATCAAAGCAGCAATTCTTAACAATCTTAAATTCATAAATAAAAATATCGTTCCATAATTTGTATCATCCATCATTCTGACAAGAGTATAGGATATGAAGTAGGAATATCATAAGAGAGAAATTCTATTAAAAAGTTGCGAACATACCCAAGCAAGTGAATAAGTGCTAAAAGAGTGTAAATGAAATGGTTTCATATAAAAATTAAAATCAGTATCGTTCAGATTTTACAAAAAAAGTGGGAATTTGTTTTTTTTCTTTTGTGTTCTTTTCCACATCCAATCACTATTTTAAGTTTTAAGAGTATTTTATTCAGCAGGGATTATATATTGACTTTAAACATATATTCAACTAGCTCACATTAAACATTTATTCAACTTCTTTTTACTTTACCCATTTGCTACTTACAAGACGCTAAATACCGGCCCTCCTCCTGCCCAAAGACTGGAAACCCCGACACAGCAACAGTATTTTCAGCCAAACCTGCGATAAACGACACGGCTAATCATAGTTTAACATCTGCCCGGTGATTGCTTGTAAAAAATAAAATATTACACAACACAATTAATGCTTATAACTTTCAACAATGCAGTGGTCATAATATGGTACAAAATTCTCTTGATTCACTGATTCAGTTTCCACAATTTAATTTGGAGCCACCTAGATTTTTCGCCATATCGTAAAATCTGAACTTTATTGTTAGCGGATTTTCCTATTAGGTGGTACGGAAAGACCTGGACCCAGAATCAATTTACTTTCGCTTTGATGTTCTCGGGGGTGAAAAACACTAATTGTAAAACATGTATAAAATTAGATTTTAGGTTCTTAATTAATTTAAATAGAAATATGCCTACGTTAAAAAAAATTTGCAGTTTTATCTATTTATTGAACATTTTCAGGTTCAAAATTACAATGTTAATATTTTTACTAAGCTAGTTAAAAATCAGATATGAAACACCCAGGCAAGAAAGAGCAAAAAACTAAATTGAACTAGCTGGAAGTTGGAAAATAATGAGTGCATAAAATTCCAAACTGTGCACTCTAAAATTCAAAATTATGAAAAATTACTTTCACTTTGTGAATAACCAGAAAACCAGATGGGTGCATCAAAAGTATTCTGATTTATTATACTTTAGGCTAGAAAATTTTAATTTTTAGAGACAGATAAGAAAACGTGCAAATAAGCAATAGTGTAAAATATAGGCCTATACATAGGGTTAATTCCCTTTTTTGTTGCCTTGTTTTTTTAGCTGAAGGTTTGTATTAACACTATGTACATTTTGCCGGCTTGTATGGCATCTTTAGGGAGTTTTCTATCTTCATAGTGTCAGGTCTTCCCTCCTCTGTTTCAGGACAACTCCTCCTGAGTATAAGAAATGAAACGGAGGAGGAGAGATAAAGAGGGGGTATTCACTATGAAGCTAGAGGAACCCCTGAATGGCTTCTTCAGGGGTTCTTCTACTTCATAGTTAAGACCCCCTCTCTATATCTTAAATCTTTCCTCTTCAAGCTCGCAAAATGTACATAGGGTGAATATAAATGTTTAGTTGAAGAACAACAAAAAATTGTAATTAACATAATTAAGGCTCTTGGAACTATGGGATAGCGGGATGATACAAAAAATATTCTTTGTAATGATTAGATGAAAAAAGAGATGGTTAATTTGTATTTCAAACCTATTCATAGAGTTAAATATTTAATATTGTATGAAGTTTTTACTGTGTTTTTTGTGAATAACTGGTAGGCATTTATAAAAAAATAAGGTTTCAATGTTTTTACAGCAATAAATATTATTTCAATTAGGATCTAATTTTTAGTCTTGGAAACTATATGGTGTTAACTAGGAAAATAAAATCAAAACTCTTGTTATGTGAACTAGAGAAGAGAAATTTGCTGCAAAAAGCCAAACCAACACACGTGCTTTCACACTCTAAAAATCTGAGAAAACTTACTGTTTGAAAAATTTCTCTTGAAATTTTCAAGAATATTTCTTCTCAAATCTTGAAAACTTTTAACTTAAGTTAAAATTTGTTAAAAAATAAAGAATAATAAAACACTGTACACACTGTAAGCAGCTAGAACATTTCTGGTGTGTAGTTTCAAGTTATCTGTACATTCTTTACCCCTTTAACTTAATTTAGAAGTGCACTTGTGTTAACACATCAAAACTACTAATCTTCATTTAAATTGTTTTAACGATGACACAAGGATTGAAAATGTATTGATAATGATTCTATTCAAGTTTGACTTTCTGCAGCAAGAATCTTAATCAATAAAGAATATTGTAGCTTTAGAATTAATTTGACAGTTTTAATCTTAAAGGAACAACTAACACTAAAGGTAATTTAACGGATAAACAAATGGAATAGCAAGCAAAGTTTTAGGTGTATTTCTTGAAAAATGATAGTGAATAAATTGGATATTTTTTAAGATTGAAACTAAAACTCTGACTCAGCTAGTTTGGAGCCAAAAATGTAATTTATTTTCAGATTGGTGAACACTGAACACTTATAAAAAACTTTTAAAAGATAGTATAAAAAATTCTGTATTGAGTATCCCTTAGGATAGTATTACATCAAGGTAAGGTTTTATCCTTAAAAAGGTCTAAGAAAACAGGTTTTATTTCAAACCGTAGTACAGGAATCCTATTTAGTGTGATTTATTTTTAAAATTTAAAGAAGTATATATCAGTAGGGTAGGGGAAGTAAACAAAAATAAAAAAAAAACATTGTGCTTTATTTTTACTACAACTATCAATTCAATAATCAGACTTTCTATGTAAGCAACCCAGTCCACAAATTATTTTCCTTTCTTAACAAAATTCTTCAACATGCGTGACATCCTAGAAGAGTTTTCCCTTGCTTTGCTTCTTTCCAACTCAACAATATTCGCTATCGCTATTGCGAATTCCTTAAAACAATGAGCTTCAGAAAGCCCAAGTGACTGTCTATTTTTAATATGAAACTCACTCCGTCGAGGCATAAGCTCAATGTTGAGATTTCTCACTTGACAAAGTTGTTGGAGATCGTAGAAATCTGACCCTAGAAAGGGCAAACTGAGCACAATGTGAAATTTCAAACCCGTCCCAACCAACTGCGGATCTGTAGCTAGATAGCCTAAAGTTCCGTGCTGCTCAAACTCAAAATGTTCCTCGAGATGGTTAACTAGTTCATGCAACTTAGTAAACATCAGGCCTATTCTTCCTTTTTCCTTATCCCCAACAGAAATCCTTATTTTTATATGTTCCTGGACGTTTATCCAAACAGCCAAGCAAATCTCAGGTCTTATATATACTCCACGTCCGTAAGGCCAATGTCTACCCCTTTTGCGTTCCCGTTTCAGTTCTGGGTCCAAGAGTAGTTGGGATTGAAGTTGGTTGAGAATTTCATTTTCACTTTGTAGAATCTCACTAACAGCGCAATAGACACCGTTCATGTCACCAATGTCAAACTCCTCTTTCATAAAGGAAATCTTATCTGCGTCTTTATTCCTGTAGAACTTCATGAGCGAACTCGACACATCAAGTTCTACCTCTTCTAACCCCTTGAGTGTCAGACAGCAGGGAAAGTTGGACCCGTTTAGATTCCTTACACACTCAATTACGCACGATTGTATTATTTTGTTGGATGGATCAAGATTCATGTGTTCCAAATCTATTTCAGTGTCTTCAAGCTCGAAATTTGATGGTGGGTGGGGGAAAGGATTGCTGTGTGGTTTGTGACCATTCAAACCTAAAATGATAGGAGTTACAAAGTCAAAGAACACAACAAAACTTTCGTAATCGGGTAGAACTATCGGAGATTCGTCCATTGGAAAGGACCGCTCTGCTATTTGTTTGACACCTGGTCGTATGACATCAAGTAAAGAGTGGTCGGATTTCGTCAACAGCTTTCTATAACATTCAAACAACTGTTGTGTCATGAGCTGACCTAGAAGGGAATTGCTGGCAATCTTGTAAGATGGGTTGCGTATTAGTTTAAAACACCTGTCCAGTGCCGCTGTGATCTCAACGTCGTCATTGTCTCGTCTAGCTGAGAAAGTGTCACTGTCCACTGCAATGAACAACAATTGATTGACCTATGGCAATAACAGGGATTGCTTTAATGTTATATAAATGTTGTTTCAGTCTGGAAATGAGTCAATATTTTTGAAATTTATAGTAACTGACAACAATTACAATACTTTTGGTTCAATGTGTTATCTATTTTTCTGAATGAGCAGTGATTTTGTTACGGTATGTAAATCTTATCTTATGTAACAAGATTATGTTTTACTGACAATTAAGCAATATATATCTCCTGCATTCCTAACCAACTTAACTGGTTTTTGTTTTACCTTTGTTAGGGCTTTGAACATTTTCCCTGGGTTTCCTCCCCTCGAATTCTGCTAGAAGCTCTTCATGAGTTATAAAATCAGGATTTTTTATGTAGAATTCTGCTGTCTTCCCATTCTGTAAAAAAAAAATAGTTCAAATACAATGATACTTTAACATTATTAAAATACAACCATATAGATTAAAATATTTAACTGCCATCCAGGGATAAGCAAACTGGTGTTATTCAAGTATGCTTCCTGCTGAAATCCCTTGTATTTTAAGCATTGCTTTAAGCCACAAAACATCAAAACTGACCAGATTTGGATGTTGATTTGAAACATCTTAGTATTCCAGATGATCCAATATGCTGGGAACCAAAATATGTCGGCAGGCTTATGCGTTTATTTAATTAAAATCTAGATTTCCATGATGCAAATAATTTGACCCTTGCAAGACAAAGTGGCGTAAGTAAGTTAGGTCCTGGGCCTTTTGTCTTGCAAGTGACGTTTGAGGGCTCAATAATAACAGCATACGTAGTTATTTCCTCTGAGTAAAAGCTACTAAAAATTTCCTAAACTATGGCATATTATCAGTGTTACTGGTGTTATGCAATGGTTTTTTTTTTAGTTATTTATCTTTAGCTTAAAACCATTGATTTTCTCCAAAAAAATCTGCTTAACTTTACATTTCAAAAGTTACTGTCCTAAACTATTGCAAAATATTAGTGTTTCTGTGTTGTGCAATGGTTTTTTTAAGTTATTTATATCTTTAGTTTAAAACCTTCAATATTCTCCAAAATATCTGCTTAACTTTACATTTTTTTAAATCGTCAAAAGTTACTTTAGATAAAACTGTGAAGGTGTCTATTTAATTGAAATTAATAACTGCCTATATGCGAACATATAAAGTACATAAATTCATGGTCTTAATGCAACAAATTGTGTCAGAACAAAAAACTTCCAAACATCGGACCCACATTTTAGTTTCATCGATAGAGTGCTATCTTCAGGGTATCTTGAATTTTGCACAGTTAATATTTGAACTTGAGTCAATTGATGAGTCAACGACATGGAATCTACAATGTATGTGATTGTGGAAGCATCTGCATGAGGTACACAAAGGTACCTCAGTGCATGAGGTATACAAAGTACGTTGCTGTCTTATAAATATGAATAACACCCTCACATTATCTTCCACAGAAGTATCTCCACCAAGGTCCGCCATCAAGTTGTAGTAATGTCCGTTGTCGCTGAGCGTGGCCGCGTAATGCAACGGAGTGCGACCCTTCGTGTCCCCAACTTTCATAGTCTCTGGAAACCGACTTGTCAGGAATCTGGAATAACAATTCTTTCTTGATAAGCATTATTTAAAATTCTTCAATGGAATGTTCTTCACCTTCATTTTATCTGTTTACAATCTTAATTACTTGAAAAATGTATGTGTTTTAGAAAATTTCTCAACAGGGAAGTGGTTTTACCTTCGGTTTAATGGTAATGCCTAGGTTTATGACTTAAAGAAAATAATTTACCAATGGATTGAAACTTCTGCTCAGCTGCTCTTGATCATTATGGCCTTTTAATAAGTTGTCTTTGCTAAATAAAACTGCTCAAGGAATTTTACTCCATTCTATACTCATACTACTCTCCATTTGGTCTAAATATGCCCAAGTATGTTCCTACCTAGTGAATCTGATTAGTGATAAATTAATATAGTACATATTAATAAAAAAAGTATTAAAAAAGTAATTAATAAAACTTAACTTAACTAAATTAATAAAAAGTAAAAGTAAAATATCAATGTTTTGCTTCTGTCAAACATGAACCAATCACAGCTACTTTAAACTCTTACCCATAAGCATCCCTCCCTAGTCTGACTTTCTTGGAAGGAGAAGTCCAGCTTAAATTTCTACATGAGTTCACTTAGTTTTGTCAGTTTAAAAGAACAGTAGTTATTTGTCTACTCAAAAACTTATCATATAAAATAATCAATATCATGATTCCAATTATTAAATTACTGTGCCTACAGTTTCCTTGGGGGCCAGCCCCCCTCCAAGACCCCTCTTTGGTCCCCTACGCTCTTACCTCACCACAGCTGTCCGTCCGTACAACACAGCTACATGTAGAGGACTCAGTCTCAACGTAGACTTACTCTCTCGGGCCACAGCAAACTTTCGTCTGTCTAACGCAGCCTGAAGTTCTCTAAGGTTCCCTTCCCTCGTCGCCGTATGCACTTTCTCTATTTTTTTCTGCAACACGTTTTGAATACTCAGGATTATTTTTGTATGCTAAACCCACCTAATATGTTTTAGAAATAGTAAGTTTCTCAGTATTAAAATTATCTCACCATACAAATCAATACAGCAGGAAGCCTACCTACATGGGATGAAAGGCCTTCAATAGCCTGCCCAACCACTTGAAGATCTTAAGAAATCAAGACTTAAAGAGAAAACTCAAAGACTGGCTAATGGATCAACCATTCTGCTCTCTAAATGGATTCTTTGATCAAAATTATCAAGCCAGATGAAAATTCACACTATTGTATTTCTTAAAGAAATCTCAATAAAGAAATTGATTGATTGATCTCACGCCTATATAACCACAATTTACTACAAGAAACTGTGAACATACAATACCAACCATGTATGAAGGGATGTTATCGAGAAACAATTGAACATCAGGGTTTTTGCTGCTATGTTTTGCTAATAATTCTCCATCACCAGCTAGCACTACTTCAGCCAGCTGTTCCATGCTGCCGACTTCTATGATCCTCTGAAGCCTCTCTTCTCGATCAGCTGATGTTTCTCGGCCATCTGTAGCAGGCAAAAAAGTGTAATTCTATGTCAACACAATGTCACAAATGTAGCTACAATAGGTACATGAATAAATTCTTGACTTTTAATATTTGAATTTACTGAGACAAATATTTTTGAAATTGAGAATTCAACATGATAAAGTCTCTTAATAGGTTTGTTTTTGAGTATGGCTAAGATATCGGTACGTGATAAAACTACATAATTACAATTACAGAATTATTTTTAGTCTACCAATAAGTGTACTTGCAGTGGTAGAGTATGTTGAAAGCTGTAGGTTGTAGTGTTACCATACTCAAAATTGTAAACTAAACAAACTACATGCTACATTAAAACTGCATAGGTTTGATTTGTAATATTTACATCCACTAAATATATAAGGAAGGTTATTACTCTATCTATGAAGCATATATAACAACAAAAATATACTCTACTCATACAGTGAACAGTATGCTTGACGGTGCCTTTCAAATTGTAGTCTCTATCACAACTACGAGTATCATTCCTTTTGACACTTACATACAACTACGATGCTTGAGTTATATACATTGCGGAGTGATTCTTTACACAGAGGTGGACTTTAAGTTTGTTTTAAACTCACTGTGAGTGTATTTCATATTTAGGTTTGGAATTATTCTTCGCAGCTCCTCTATTGTTTTTCTGCTTTCATCTAACGACGAAGATTTGGCGTACTCCGATAATTTTTCCCAGTGCTTCTGAACTGGTCTATAAACAGTGAATCGACGTTCCTTTGTTTCATTTGGCACATCATTAGGAAGGATTGCAGTGGACGCACTGTTACCCGAGGGTGACGTACTTGAGTAGTATTTATTTTGATTTTCTATTTTATTCTTATTTTCTTGCATATAATTTTTCAACTTCTCTCTATTTTTTGTTTTCTTCTTCCTGTTACCATAAGTGTTATTGCTTTTCATACTTAATTCATCTCCAACTGGTATTTGTACATTCTTTACTACATTTGGAGTGTCTTTTTTATTTGTTGCCTTATTTTTATTTGTAGTTTCTTTATTAATTTTTCCAGACATTCCACTGAGCTCTCTTTCGTGTGTGATAAAATCCTTGGTTACTTTTATTCTATCAACCATGGGACCCATTCTCAAACTTACGTCTTCCTCAGTTTGGCCGACTTTGTCATAAACTTTGTATTTCACAGAATCAATTACACCCTCAACTTTTTCACTAGCATTTTGAAAGTTGTTTGCCACCTTCCCTACAGTATTTTCAATCTTTTTATTTATATATTCTTTTTCCTTCTTGATACTCTCACTAGCTTTACTAGTTGTGTCCTTGATAGCACTGTTAATGTGGTTGTGTATTTTTCCAACTTTGTTTCCAATTTCTGTTTTAAGGCTGTTCTTGGATTTGTAAGCCTCTTCTTTTACTTTCTTTTGTTCCTTATCTAAAAATGATCTAGACGAATCAATGTCACTTTTTAAGGTTTTGTCAATATTATATATCATTTGGTTTATGTTTTTCTCAACCCCCTCTATAGCTTGACCAGAACTTTTGAACCCTTTCTTCAAAGATTCTGGTCCATCTTTAATTTTGGACTTGATTGTAGCCACATTTTGTTTGCTTTCTGCTGTTACTTTTTGCATTCCCCTCCCCAAAACATTAAGACCATCATCAATAACATTATACACCTTTGATTGACCCGTCCTACCTGCTTGTTCTTCCTCATTATCTTTTGTCTCTTCCTCTGTTTTCTCCCCGTTTTCTTCTTCTGGAGTTTTGTCTTCTTTTCTTCTCTCTGGTTCATTTGTCAGCTCATACTCTGGGTCCACTTCTTCATATTCTGCCTCATAATGTCCCTCCTGTTCATCACTATCTGCTATATAACCTCTTTCTTTGTCTTCTTCCTCTTCTTCTACACCTTCATCTGGGTCTACATCAATGTCATAAGTTTGAGGACGAGTTGGTGGCTCTTTTGCAAAGTTGTTGTTTATCTGCAAAAGTGAAAAAGAACATTAGAGTTCTCAATAAAGATAAATATTATGTGACAGTGGTTGTAGGTGACATTTATCAGTCTGTCTGCTAACAGAAGGTGATAAAGAAATGTTTTTTTTTTAGTAAATGGTTAAGAAGCTTGTTTTACAAACCTAGTTAAGCTAGATTTTAAACCCAAATTTACCTCATTCCCTTGAGAACTATTCCGCTCTGGAGTTTCGTCCTCAAAAGCGCTGTCTCCATTATTGAGTGGAGGTGGAGGAGCAGGCTTGGGTTTTTTCACTCCTAGCCAATCCAGTCGCAAGCTGCTCCATTCCCAGTTGGCTGGGAAAACTGTGGATGTCCGAGTTGTCTCAGGAACCACGGTCAGCTGTTTCTGGTCAATTTCTTTCACGTTGTGTATATAGTAGCTTGGGACCCTCCCTTTCTACAACATTACAATAGTTTATTAGCTAGTAAGTTACTGCTTATTACTTAATTTTTTTTTTAGCTATTTTACTAAAACTTTTATCTGAATCTCAAATTTAAGGAGCAAGGCATGTAATGAGTGAATCGAAAAAACACCAAACTCTTTGAGATTGTTTCAAAATTATTAAGTTATGCATATTTTAAAATTTGTTTTACCTTCATCTAAAATTAATACTAACATTAAACAATTAAACAGCATTCAGTGGACATACACAGTAAGGATGGGTAAAAAGCACAATATGCGTGATTTGTGTACACTTCACATAAAGTTGAAACATCAAGTCAATTTCCACCTGAGCTGTCCACCATTTATTTCTGGTGGGCCTCTACCACCAAGGTTTCTGTTTTTCACACTGGTATTGGGGTATTTTCCAAGTGAAATCCTGGTATTATTCATTTTTTGAGGATCTATGGGGAGGATGAAAGTGCTGGTGCTAGTTGTGCACTAGAACAACCAGTCCCAGCTTAATGCTATTGCCATATCAATGTAGCGCAAGTCCTACAGACAGGTGAACCACTGAGAGCTGCACACCAGACCTGACCGAGATCGGTTTTGAACCCACAATTTACAGAGCTGTCTCAAGACGAGATTCAAGAGATATTACCAATGTCATAGGAAATAAAACTTAAAGTTAATGAAATATTTGAAAAATTCAATTTGTATAAACGTTGTTAAAGGGAAGGGTCTTAGCATTGACTATCCGCTGAATAGATTTCCCTTGTAATGTAAAAATTTGAAGCCAAAAACGGGTGGTGCAATCTGTTGAGATGATCCTGAACTTTAGGAAGTTTATTCTATGTAAAGTCATAGGTCTTTAATGAAATAAAAACAATCACAATTAGATTTTAATAACGACACTATAGTAAGTTTAACAATGGAGTCTAACTTCTTTAGCAAAAGTCAGTGACAACTTATGTACAGCTGATGTCCTATACTCCAGCTGATTCTTTATTACTCTCAAGAACCATCAAAATCTTTAACTTTTCCACTTATCATCTCATCACCTTGTCCAAAATGTTTTCGTCAGCCCCCTGCTCTAGGAGGAGGTCGTAGGTAGCTCCACTGCCTCGAGCCGCCGCAGCAAGATGCAGCGGGGATCTGCCCTCTCGGTCTAACACTCCTACAGCCTCTGGACAAGCTGACAGTACAGCTCTAACCATCTCAACATGGCCCAGACCTGCTGCCTGGAGACGTATCATAGTTAGTTTTATGTTGTTCAAAGGTTTATTGCAGACATTTTCCATCACGAATGTAAAAAACAATACACAACGTTTCGGGATCTGGAATCTGATCCCGTCTTCAGGTGAAAAAAACTTAACTAACACATTACAACTAACAATACACAAACGCCCAACCTAAGTTGGAATACACTACAGAGGGTAGTAGTCAAAAAATATGCACTGTATAGCAGTCAAGTCATGATACAACATGCAATTAATAACAAATCACTATAATCTATAAATGTCTGCAATAAACCTTTGAACAACATTAACTCACCACCACCAACAATGAACTTCAAACAAAGAGTTAGTTTTAGTTATATTGTTGTAGACCAGATATAAAAAGTTCTGTTAATAAAATTACCACGAATTAAACATACTATAGTTCGGCCGCTTAGAAAACGACCTGCACGCTAACGCTAAACCAATGCTGGAGGAGGTCGCTTTCTAAGCGGCCGAACTATAACATACTCCTTATTAGATTAACCTCAACCTAGAGGTTAGAGTGCCCACCTTGCAATCAGAAGATCATTTCAACCCTGAGAAATATCATACAATTTTTTATGTTTCAAAACTGGACCCAGATGTCCTTGATCTCTGGGCTTTTACAAAGGACCCAGCAAAGTCCATGAAAATCAGGAGTGTCCACCAAGGATCAGGGAGTTGAGTAGTCCTGGCAAAGGAACAATCTGATCTTGAACAGTAACAAAAGCTGTTGTCACATTCATTCAATATTCACTCTTCACCTCAAAATACACAACCTGGTGTGTTGACATCATTCTATGAATCCATAATCTAATCACTAGTTAAAGGGACAAATACTTTAAGTTTGTGTAGACAAACCTTGTGCAAAGGCGTGAGGCCATTTTGGTCCTTCGCAATAACGATTTGTCGAGGAACAGGAGGTTCAGTTCTTTTGCGCAGAAGGATCGTGTCATTGTTAATCGCTGCAGTGTGCATGTCCTTAATCACTCCCTGAACAAGTGAACACCATAAAGTAAATATATCAAATATATGCTCATACCTGTAGATACACTGTTAACGTAACATTCCATACCTATTAAAGTTATAGCTAGTTGTATAAAAACACTTGCTTAAATTGAGCTACTGACATAGTATGCTGTGATAAGCTACTAACACAAGCTTCATATTTTGCAATATGAAGAGAATTGGGTCGATGAATTGTAGCTTGCCCAGAGCTGCAGCAACAAAACAACAAAAATATTCAAAACCTATTACGCAAATTGGTTTAAGATGTGAACAAATTAAATGAATTTAATTTAAAACAAAACTAAAACCCCATCCAGTATTTTTACCAGTTTAATATCAGACTACTTTAACCATGGAAGCCTTTTCTTCTATAGTGTATGTTTATAGGAAGAGGAAGTAACTGACTCCCAATATTCCAAATCAAGGGCAAGGAAAGGCAATTCATAGGCATAAAACATTCAGGTAAAACATCACAATGATCATGAAAGAATAGTGAATGTATTAAAGAACACCAAGTGAAAACAAAAACACATATAATAATACTGACCATGATGTAAGGCACGGCAGACAAGAAGTTCTTGACTTGATTGTGCTGGGAAGTCTCTGTCCGCAGCTTCTCACCGTATCCTTCCCACACCACCTGCGCCAGCCTGCCGAGGTCTCGGTCGTGGATCCAGATACGGATGTTGGCTGGTTTTACCACAAGTCCTGCGTAACAATAATATCTCGTAAAATGTTGTTCATTACACTTACACTAGACAGCAAGTGATACTGCATATATATGACGAAAACAATGTACAGTGCAGTGACAAGGACCAAGTAGTTACCGCCCTATCTGGCTAGATTGGAACACTAGTTCTCAATACTTTGAGAACGCTCACACTCCCGACCCCGTAGTTTTTAAGAGATCTGTGATCTCATTTTAATCAAATAATGTGCACACCTGTATTGGGCCTGTGTCGGGAAAGTATCAAGAGGTGAGCCTGCACAGAGTTATTAGGATAATTAATAATGCAAAACATTAAAAATGGGATCAATGGTTACAAAAAGGAAGCGTGGACAAAAAATAAGGGCTGCACAGATTTGTACTCATTAGACATCAATCGCTCCTTGCTGCTTGAGCGAAAACGTCGGCAAATATTATAGCTAGAGCTAAATTAGAGTAATAATCAGAGGCCATTCCGTTGTTGTTCTTAAATATAATAATATCCATTTCCATCATGTTAATGGCCAATTTCCAAAAAAATAATGTTATGGATAAAAATACAAATTATGACATTTTATCTTTCATTTATTTTTATTTTCTATCCAAACACCTTCAGGTTATATAAAAATGCTTTACAGCACAAAATAGTTTAAAATAACATTTAAAATATGTTTTAGCAAGAAATGGTACCTATAGCTATTTGTGTATTAATATTACGCTTTAGGTTATGTTTGCTTTTTTAGGTAATGTTATTTTCTGCTTTGCTTTGGATATTGCTTACCGGTTGGCGTTGTACTCTGATCCTACACGGACTACGGAGGCTGTTGTTGTTGGTTTTTGGTGTAGATTGAAACGCCAACAATGAAATCAGCTGATTAGCGAGTAATGTTTAGGTGTGGCTATATGTGATCATTTCCATGCAGTGGTAGGAAATAGTTATTTCCATTTGTGTAACTAGTGTGCGAAGACTCGCGTTACACATTATATTTTTCCTACAGATACTAAAGCTCTAAAGCATAGAAATAATTAGTCTTCTCTTTCAACCACAAAACAACACGATTTAGGTTAGTAGATTAAATCCAAACGTTGAACGGTTGAACAAAATAGGAAACACGGCACCAGCTGATCGTCGTTGTATTATCTTTATTATAAGTGAAGTGAATATTTATTTTCACTTAAGTGTTGCCAACTTTTCAAGCTTACACATACTATACGTGCCTAAAAATAAAAGCAAACTTTTTTGTGTTGTTTGGTTGGAATACTGGAGTGTGGCAAAAAAATGAGTACCGGTAAGACAAGTAAAATGAGTGCGGCTAGCTACTTTGCGTGCTATAATCAACTAGTACAAGAAAGCCCGCTTTGTCGTCAGGTAACAGTAGGAAAAATAATGTATTGGGGGGCAAGCTGGTCTAGTGGTAGAGCGAGAGGTTTCGGAACCTAAGGTCCTGGGTTCAAATTCTGGCAATCACCAATAATGGATTTTATCTGTTACCAGGACTGTACTATGGGATGGCCACCTTTAACTCCGCCTAAAGTATAAAACAGTTCCGGGCTAGAACCTAGCGTACTAGAATGAGGGGGACATTAAAATAAGTTTAGTTTATTAATATCAATTTTGCAGGTTAAAAATGGTATGGTAAAATAAAACTTAGATGGTTTCAACTTTAATCTTAGTGTCTGGAACATATTCAACATACATTAGAGTTGAGGGGGAGGCCATCAAGGCTACTGCGTGGGTAAACTGCAGTTTTACACCCCATCAAGAAATTCGATACAAATTGAGGTAAATTGTTTTAACAAGTGCAACCCAGTTTTTCTAGTATCTAGGTCAACCATTGTACTCACCATATTGATCGATGGATAATTGGTTTCCACAATATCAGAAACCTCGATACGCCTCCCTGTTCCACCCCTTCTATCTTACGTCCAACCCTTGTCACTTTCATACCACCCTTCCATCACTTACCTCAACCTCAATACATTCTAATTATCATGCAACCTTCACCCCTAATAATGAACTTGCCAAAATAAGATTGAGTGAACTCGGTAACACACACTCATACAACATTGTGTATCAAATGGAACTCGGGGAAGCGAGTTGGGTGTAGTAGTAGAACGCGGGACTACGGTCCTCAAGCTCCTTGGTTCAAATCCCGCCAATCGCCAATGGGTTTTTGTTATATATGATGATGCAAAGATTTGCTGGTTCGGAGCTCAAATTAAACTGTACTGCAACTCTATGTATGAAAATATAGTTAACTATCTTAGATGAACGTGTTATGTTGTAATGTATTTTGTAATACAACAATTGCTTTAGAAAGAAAATTATTGTTTTTCATCTCTGCTCAATTGGCGGACATGAGAGAGATCGTATTCCCAGTTACATTCCAATAGGTACTGATTTCCTTTTTTATTAATTTTTATTTTCTATGAATTGAAATTCAAAATCTGACTCAGATACTTCGTAAAACTCACTTCACTTTCAAAGTTAATGCTAATAATGCTAATTGGCTTTAAAATATGTATCGTTTGGCAGATCAGTGAATCATTAAACATCCACGAGGTTATCTGTAGTTTCAGTAAATCCGGATAATTTCTCTGTTTAACCATCAACAATTATTTATTCAAACGAATCGATAGTGCTCTCACGCGATTGGCTATAATCGTAATTGACTGGAATCGATTAGCGAACAACACTGACTTAAGATTGACTGCAATATAGATGTTTCTAATTGCTTTCGAAGTATCCACAGCCATTTAATTATATGTATAGATGTAATTATTTAACGTTGATTCGATCATCATCGCATCGGCACAACCCCCAATACTGTAAGTCATTATTATAACATGGTTCGAAATGTATTGCATTTTTTTCAATTTTTTCTCATTTTCCCGATAATATTCCATAGTTACCCCAGCCGTTCATCCAGTATAATTGTGTTTATAATTATAATCTGTTATTGATTACTGGATTTTCAATAACATCAAGCAAAATAGAGAAAGTATGTAAATTTACTTTTGTTAATTTTTTATGTCCCACAGGTAAACCAACACTATTTTGAATTACACTATATGGTTTAAGTAATGTTATATGACCATAACAAGATAACAAACAACATACCGGTACCTAACAACATAACAAGGTTTTTGGTGTTACGGAAAATCAATTGAACTAGAATGACACATTTATCATGTTGTTTAAACCTGTTTACGTAATGTTTGACGATTGCGACATAAGCAGTGTAGCATGGCAGTCAAACAACATTACGGAAAGCTGCAATCAACATAGAGTAAGAAAGATTGATCAGTGTAACAGAGTTTAAAGCAACGTTGCGAGATATTGTTCTACCGTAACACTGAGTAAGATTGAAAAACTTCGTACTAGATGGAGTCTGATTGAGCATTTTGAACACTTAGTTCAATACCCAGTAGTAGGTAGTACGAAATGTTATCCGCAAAGTAGAGTTATATTTCTCAATAACATTTCTGTGTACGAATTGCACTATCTCAGCATCGAATAATATTAATCAAAGTAACATTAGTTAAGAGTTAACTAATTTATCGAATATTGTTTAATTCACCATAGAATTGTGGTGTAACTTGGTGTGCATGACGTCATGCCGTGCGTGTAAGAGTGGCATTGACAGGTCAAAACCTTCCACTTATACCATTTTCAACAATCATGGTTTGATCCACAGCCAACAGCCATATATTATTTACAAGTCGATGTCCTGCGTTGAGTATCAGTGGATTGAAACACGCTAGATTCCTCCGATAGGCTGTATTTACCTCAATTTAAGTGGAACGAGTCAAAACTACCAAAGTTCAAGAGGTTAATATTTTTAAGGCTTAAGAAGGCAAGTTTTAGGTAAGTTTATGCCCGGTTTATGTAAATGAATATTTGCTGTTGTATTTATAGTTATCCAACCAGATTATAGTCTATGTTAAATAAATAAAACAGCGTGTATGTAAACTATCGTCTTATGTCTTCTCATAACAAGAAGTAACGCAAATATATAAAACCTTCCCAAACATAAGACAAAAATAATCAGGGGCACTTGGAACACGTCGTAACAGGCTTTAATATATTTGGCAATAGGCAGAAGTGTACCTTGCACCTTGCACTATTCAAAGTCAACGGTTATAAATACATAATACAGCGTTTCCGGTGTGGTCAGTTTGTGACGTCACGAGTTTATTTTCTTTTTAACACGCAAACTTCCGGTTCTCCCCCTTCCACCCCACAACCACCCTTGTCTGACATCGCTATCGCTATTTTACTTTCTGGGTCTTCCGCAGTGTTATTTACATATTGTATGAGGTTGCCGACCTCCTCAGTAAACAATCCTTCGTTCCATCGGCCATTTGTTGGAAATATAAATACCTCAGGTTTAGTTGTTGGATTCTTCAACAAACTATCAAAAAGTGCCGGTTTCAGTAAAAGCTCAGAACAATTATTATTCTTCACGGCACTCAAAAACAATCAAATAAAAAAAATAGTCAAGAGTAAAATGAAATCCTCTATGAATTTTTCTTAAGTATTCTTCTTTGAAATTGCATTTATTATTTTTTCTGAATGCATTTTAAAATGAATATATTCCAATGTAATAGTATATTACGTTACTAGTCCTGAAAATAAGTGTTTACCGGACGAGTGTGGTCGTTCCTGTGCGAGACGAAGTCGAGTACGGTACGGGATTACCATACGAGTCCGGTAAACACATTTTGGGCGAGTTACGTACGATAGTTTACGCCATACTACTAAATCTCTACAAATCCTTATATAGGCCAATTACCACCAACTAAAGGACTAACAATCACTAGTCAAAACCTCTAAGCGAGGTTATGTTTCTGTCTACAACCACTCATTGCCACCCAAATACAGTATAATCAGCTGGTTGGTGTCCGGTAAAACTAAATAAAAAAAACATTATAATAAAACTGCATGACAGTAGTACGCAATGAAACCCCCATTTGATTAAGCTGGCGACAAACAGCTGTTTTCTGGACTAAATACTTGCGTGGGAAGTTCGTTAAAACAGTGTAGTATGGCGTAAAATTCTTTACCATACAAGAACAAGCCCACAAAGGAACCGCAATCACATAAGAAACAGGCTGAACAGCAAAACTATTGTTTTAGAAATATATATGTTAAAAAACCAAGTCACAAAAATGAGCACTGTTATGACACGTTTTTAATACATTAGTGCAACTAAACATTGGATAACTACAAATCTCCCGTTGTTACCAGTAAACTACGTGCTTTCTTTCCTGTCCAACAGCGCCAACTACATCGTGAATCAAAGCAAAATTATCACGCTCCAGTCTGTTTCAAACAATTCATTCAAATAAAGTCTGCAAATGTAAAAGATGTGTTTAAAATACACGAGAAATTCTCCCTTGTGCTAAATAAGGCATTTTCTATTACTGAAAATTACGTATTTCTTTCAATTACCTCCCAATGGGTTTCAAAGTTAGACACACACATGCTTCACTCACCATTCGCCCCGGAAGTGAAGCGTCCTGGAGGTACGACAGACGGTGTTGACGGCAGCTCAGCCTCCTCCGGATGGTCCATGTAGTGTTGGGGAGGACGTCCTCGGGCGTCTAGGAGAGCAACGTCGGCACCGGCCTGGCGGAGGATGCTCCAGGTCCACTCTGGGTCCGAGGCTCTTCCACAGTAGTGTAGTGGCGATCTTCCCTCCTGTGACAAGAGTGAAAAAACATGGATTTTTATATTGATTTTAGCCTCCTGGTCGCATTTAAATACTATAAATTGGTGTCAAATACCTGCATTTATGCGATCAAAGAGTTGCGACATAGTGTCCCGTATCGCTACAGTATTATCTCTGTTTTTATCACCATAAATGTCCAATTTAAATGTGTGAATGTGATGTCTTATTTATTAATATTAATTATCATTTAACGACCTTCATATGAAGCGACTAGACATCTTGACTGGCCTGAGGGTGACTAGAAACCGGTTGCCTAAGCAACGCTATGAATTGGTCCATGCTATAAATTTGTAACATAAATGCAGGGGTTTTACACCAATTTATAGTATGGATTTTTAAAACAAACCCATCTAAAGCTGGTAAATCACATATTGTATAATAACCACAAAAAACTATGTCGTATTAAAAATTGAAACCTAAAACATACAATAAATTAGAACAAATTTGGGTACGATAATTTATTTTTGTAAAAAAATTCAACTGACTTCAAACGCTCTAAAAAGAATGAAATAATTTCAATAAAGTAAACTTTTGTATTAGGCAAGCTCACGTATTTTAAGTGGGCGCGACTCTATGATGATGTTTGATACAAAATTGAAAGAGGGTGTCCATATTGCAGGTGACTCTATAACTAAAGGTGTTAATCTGCATGTCTTTTTCATAGTTATGCGTTAAGTGTTATTTTATTACCGTAATCAGAGATCGGCATTATAGTGGTATTAACGAGTATCTTTAAAAAGATTATAACGCATTTAAATGTTTCTAACTTGGAAAAGTAACGTTTTAATACTAAACTAGCTTCTTTTCCCTATAATAATATCAAACTAAATTATTTTCCTATTCATATAGAACATTTGTGTGTGTTATTTTCATAATGCATTTATTCTGAAGTAAACATAAAATACAAGAAAATATTTCCTTTAATATATAAACAAAACAGTTCAGTATGTTTTTTTATATATTTATGTTATCCAGCTACAATTTATTGATTTTCAAAATACACACACAACATTTAATTTCAATCATATTTGCAGTTTGAGCCGCGCCGACTTGAAATACGTGAGCTTGCCTAATACAAAAGTTTACTTTATTGAAATTATTTCATTCTTTTTAGAGCGTTTGAAGTCGGTTGAATTTTTTTACAAAAATAAATTATTTCATGATTTTTAGTGACTGTATAATTTTTTATATATTAATTACTTCAGGATTTTTGATAAGCAAAACTGTTTGACACAATCAAAAGTTCCACAGAACAATCATTATTTTAAGAGTCACCTGTTCAGGTTACATAATCAATGTTCTTATACTTAAAATCAATGTAATATTCTTATTCTTATTCTTAATGGGTATGAAAATAGACATTTTTAGATATTCCTTAAGAAAGAAAGAGTTGTCCATTACATTAGGCCTAATGAAAAACTAATTGTCTTTTCTAGATACATTGAAATGTCAGACATCATCGTTTCCTGCAATCGGTGTACTTCTACATTATAAAAAGAAATACAGTAACGTCTCAAGCCTTTTGGAACAATATGAAAGTTATTCCTCAGCTACCAGCACTAAAAAATCTCTCAAAAGTGGAAAATTGGTCGTTAACACGTATAGTACCTTTGGAAAATATTATATGAAAGATTGGTTCAGCTAAAAGTGGTGTAAGTCATGTAGGGGGTTTTGTTTGCTCAAGATATAGCCTAGTCGAAATTGCAAATCATCTTCCTCTAGGACTTTCCGAAGCAGGCATAATAGTATTGATATGTTATAGTAACTGGGTAGAGAATATTAATAAACATTCCACATCTGCAAATTAAATATGCATATGAAACATTGGTTCAGCTAAAAGTGGTGCAAGCCATGTAGGTGGTTTTGTTTGATCAAGATATAGCCTAGTCAAAACTGCAAATCATCTTCCTCTAGGACTTTCCGAAGCAGGCATAATAGTATTGATATGATATAGTAACTGGGTAGAGAATATCAATAAACATTCCACATCTGCAAATGCATGTTTGATAATTAAAATATTTAACACTTTTAAGACAATTGACGATTATGCACTGTCACACTTCTTAGGTCGTGTATGGAATAAATGCATTTAATTTATATTTAGACCTGTTTTACGATTGCTTTGGTTTTCACAATACACCTTTATTTGTCAATATCATACAGCTATTCATTGAAACATATATGTTTTTGTAAGTCAGAATATTCAATACTAAAAACAGAATTACTGTATACACAAATCAGGTCAAACTTTAAAATACATTTTTTATAGTAACCAAAACAAAATGCATTTTTCTCAATGTAATTCATTTAGGCTCCATGGCAAGAAATAGTTTATTGATCAATATGAAGCAACTGTTTCATGAAGAATTGTCTGTAGCTTCATTTAAATGGTTTCAACTAACAGCTGTAGGAATGTTATTATTATTTATTGCCTTCTCTGCACAAATGTAAACAATCTGCACAAATGTAAACAAAATAAATGTTGAATATTTAAGGTTTTCAGAATTTTTCACCGAAACAAATATTATACTTAAGCATAATATATAAGGTACCAAATAGAAACTCTCCTGGTTATTTTGGTGGTGGAACCACTTTGATCGGTAAAAGAATCACAGAGAAATTGGTGAACATACATAGAAAAAAAAAACATCGCCACAAACAAATTGAGAACCTCCTCCTTTTGTTGGTAGTGGGGAAGTCGGTTAAAAAGGTTTTTCTTTTTGCATGTTGTTCTGACTAGGTACTATAAGAATCTCTATGTTGTTATTCTGACAATTTTTTAGTTTAAGCTGGCTTTGTTTACGAATCTTGTTTTGTTTTATGTATTTCCTAATCAGAGAACTGGATCAGATTGCAGATCCTGAAAAGTCGTAAAAACATGGTCTTACTAATCATGATAGCAAATGTCCGCAATAACCCCTCAGAAATTTTAAACCCGCCGTCATTGAAAGTGGACTTTTTGCACAACACAGGGAGTTAATAAGATTATTGACTCAAGGGGAATACTAAAAAACGTACGCCAAAAAAGAAGATTCTATTATATCTTTTACTAAAAGAGAAATCTATACTATTATAAATACCCCCGCCGCAGCAAACCTGCAGACTAAGCGAATTTCCATTTCACTGATTGGATTTACACTGAAATGTCTACTTAAAAATATAACATTTATTCTTGATTTAAATAGAATTAGTTTAACAAGTACTTATGTTTGCTGCATCAGGGAGGGTTAAACTGTTTTTTTTTTTTGTTTTTTTTTGTAAAATGTGAATAGTTAGTAAGAAATAAAAACATTTTCCAAATTTGATCAAAATATGTTCACAAACAAGCAAACTACAACAGTTTACTTATTCTCCATAAGAATAACATGGGAATTTTAAATTTAAATTTTTTTGGAATTTTCTCCGTAACCATTAGGCGCATAATAACGCTTCAATATACTAAATTATTTGTTTTTTTAAGCTCTACAAAATGGTTTGGAAAGAGATTGCTAAATTTTATGTTTTTTGGGTCAAAAATGGGAAAAACCTATTTTTACCCCATAAAACCACCCGTAAACCCCCGTTCCCATGGTCCGATCATGCTGGATCGCGAACTCGTTCGAATAAACGTACGTTTACACGTTTGTACCAAATTTCATCAAAATCGGATCATTTTTGCTCGAGTTATCGTGCTGACGGACATATATATATATATATATATATAAATATATATATATATATATATATATATATATGAATTTGAACGGATGGTGTTTTTGGCCTCTAGGGACCTCAAAACGAAAAAAAAAATCGGTCCCGCGTCCAGGTCTTACCATGAGTACAACGGTAATAGCTTATTCCCTATATGGGAAATTCGCTAAAAAGAGGTGGTTGCTGTATGTGTGTATGTGTGTATGGGAAAAGTAAACTCGAAAAATACTGGTCGGATTGGGCTGAAATTTGGCATGATGATAGCTCACATTCCCGATTAACATATAGGCATATTCTTATTTCAAAAATCCTTTCGGGCTCCGCCCCAGTGGCTCTGGAGTTTCCCATGTTAACCTTATGAGAAATGGAATTATTGAATCTTAACAGCTGTTTCAATTAAACAAGTTGGTTCTGTTCTATGATGTTCAATAGCATTAAAGTTACAAGGATTACCAACAGGGTGCAGCACTATTATTTCTTTTACATTTATGACAACAGCTATTTTGCGACCAAAAGGTGAGTGAGCGTAGCGAACGAACTTCAACCTGGAGGCGAGTTAGCGTAGCGAACGAGCTAACCTGAAGGCAAGTGAGCGCAGCGAACGAGCTCCAACCTAAAGGTGAGTGAGCGTAGCGAACGAGCTCCAACCTAAAGGTGAGTGAGCGTAGCGAACGAGCTCCAACCTAAAGGTGAGTGAGCGTAGCGAACGAGCTCCAACCTAAAGGTGAGTGAGCGTAGCGAACAAACTTCAACCAGGACGTGATTGAGCCATGCGAACGAGATAATCTTGAAAATTAAGAAGTTAAACGGGGCAAAGCCCGCGGGTTACAGCTAGTACTAGATAACTTTTGCCGTGGGAGAAAGTATAGCGTTTACTTTAAACAGGAATACTTGACCGATTTTGTATTACACTACTTTTGCCAACAGGGAAATAAAAGATAAACTTTCCACGGTATGGAAATACTGTATAGGTGGTTTTTATTTCAAGGAAAATACTAGACACATTTTACTGACAATAAAATATTGTCATTATAGTTATTTTTGTCGTTAAACGGAGAACTTAGGTGTTAATTCCACTATAAATGCCACCACTTATACGAGCAAAGATTTAAGAAATGTTCATACATAAATTATAAAATTGTATACCTTATCAAATATATAGGCAATTATTTAACAAGTTTTCGTTAAATCATTCAAATATTACGAATACATCAAAGAGCGGTGACAGACGATGAGCCTAAAACACCAACGGTTCTTTGTCAAGGAAAGATTACCCGATAAAAAGTTCAAAAGACGCAGATCAAAGAGTAGTTACTTACTGTGAGAGGGTTGTGTGGTTGTAGTGAAACTGACGGCATTAGACCAAGACAACGGTATCAAATATTCAGTGCAGAGCTGCCATTGGTTGGGGATTCGATACTCAAACAGTGAACAGGCCGTCGATCTAACGATGACCTAATCACATGTTTTTTACAACTTTGGGAGAAAATTACTCAACTTTTGTCAAACAAAATAAAACTAGAGGTAGTCCAGTGGTCGAAAACTCGACCAAAAATATGTAATGTACAGACTTCTCTATTTTCACCCCACGCTGTAAATAAAATATGTGATAGGGATTTCATTTGAAAGTGTCTTGAAAAAAGCATTTTGTTTCAAGAGCTGTAAAACAATTTTGCCAATGTGGCAACATGATGTGAATGTCGTTGTATCACGTTGTGTGGCTTTGGACCGGAAGTGTTTCCCATAGCAAAATCTGCGTTCTAAGTTCATAAGTTCAGTGCCTGAGCCACAAAACCCCGGAGGCACATCTCTTACGCACATTTAAAACTATCTATTAAATTTGGTACACAATCTCTGAATGTACGCCCACTGGACCGTGATGTTAAACGAAACTTGAATGGAATGTAAATTAAGGTTTTTTTAATGTGATGTCTTTGGGAATGTTTTTACAGGTTTGCGAACGGTTATTAAAGTTTAACCTGCGAAACTGTTACAAAATCATTAAGTCTAGATTCAAGATTATAAGTCTAGACATTTCATAGAGATTCATAGAAAATCGTTACGAATACGTCGCATAGGTGGCCAGGCGATTCAGGATACAACTTTGAAACTAGAGATTATACAAATTCCCACTACCTCTTTTGGATTTATTAAGACAACATATCGTGCCTAATGGAGCGTTGATGGTAAACACGTTTTATTAGGGTACTTCTAGAATAAATAAAACCAGCTGGCCCCTTATCTCAACAAACCTACACGCAGGTCCCTTTAAGGTTTTGGCACTAGCAAGGTAAATTTCAAAGAAGAATTAGTTGGACCAAAAGAAGTTCAACCTCAACCAGTTGCTGAGTTAGGTTACACACCTAAAAACGGGAAGGTTTACGGTTTGGCCATAAAACAATCAATAGCCCTTGAAAAAACTGGACCCAACTGTCTTTGAATGGTTTCCGATGGTTATGATCAAAGAGTCCTAGTAAAACTGTTACATTGGGTTAATTTAAGACTAGCTACATCCTCAACTTATGTAGTTAAATAACCACGTTTACAGAAATTGACCAGTCCCCCGAACACGGTAGCTATAACTTATACGTCTATATAAGTCGTAGTATCGCTGGTTCTAGACTGGTGCCATGCACTATCACTGTGGTCAAGTATCCTGTCCCTCACTTGCAATAGAGTAGACTGCAGGAGATGAAGAAGTTAAACTAACATAATTTCTTCTTCTAGAGTCCTCTCTAGTACGTAATTTCTTCAATAACTCTGAAGGCCTACTTACTCTGTCCCTCACTCGCACAGTGCCAGGATGCTGCTCGGTCAGCCACTTGACCATGTCGCGATGACCGTAGTACACAGCCTTGTGCAGCAGCCCAGTCCCCGAGGAGTCTTTGCTGAGTGCCAGGGCAGACAGCTTCTTGCGGGTGAAGGAGCCGTCGCTGCTGGGTTTCAGAAGAGTCTGAAGATCCGTTAGGTGACCCTTAACAGCTGCTTCGTGCAACATGTCGATCCTCGCCTTAAACACATTAAACACATATAAACTGTGGCAAGTCTGAAATTTTGAGATACTAGTTGTGGAATGTGATTTTTTAAGGACATTTCCTAAAAGAACTCTTCATTCTTGTACTTTTGCGTTATTGGTTTTCCATGGCTTCAGGTGGAGATTCCTGTCAGACACTTCAACCTTACTGAAGAGGCTTCCTCAGCCTAGCCACTGAGGATGCCTCTTCTAAAGGCAATCGCCTGAAAGAAACTAATGTTGCGGTTGATGTCAAAACCCATTATGGGGCCTAGAAGAAAGGTTTAGTTGCTTATTTTCACACCTTCATAAATACTCATCATTTTTTGTGAGAGAGTCCACGCTACAATTTAATTTTTGTACAAACATTTTTGACAGTTTATAGATAAACTGACAACTAAGAATCATGAGCTACAATACCCTGATTTTTATTTAAGGTTATATAGAAATTTGTTAGCCGTAAACAATCAACCATGGTACCCTACTGTGATTCCATTACTTATACTGATAGCTCGAGTTGGAATTGAAACTTCTTTACTTATGAAGCAAAACACATCTTGGTTTTATACCTTGTAGGACACGCAATATATTCATAGAACAGGGGTGACCGTAATTTGATCCGTACGTAACTCCAATACCAACTCTTAGAATTAGGCCTACTGTCTGTTTATTGAAAGGCTGCAAAGAACATTTTGAATCCCCCCCCAAGCACCGTAGGAAAGCCCAAATACGTCTTGACTCACCAGATAAGACGGCACAGTCTTGAGGAAAGCTCTGACCTTGATGTCAGCAGCATACTCTCCTAGCAGCTTGTGACCCAACCCTTGTACGACCACCGCCTCTAGCCTCTCCACATCTCCTCCTCGCAACCACTGACGAATCACACTTGGATGAGGCACCACCTCTGTAAATATTGCCTCAATTAACACACATCCAGATACACAGTTAAACTCAATAAGAGTTCCCCTTCATTATTGCATCACGATTCTACTGTATTTCTCGCAATCACTATAATCGTTCTCTACCTACATTTCACCTTTATCTTCTTCATATCAAGACCCTGTTTATCTCCATCAAACCACAGACAAGGGAAACCATTCTTTTCCTCCACAACAATCCTCTTTTAAGACCCTTTTTATCTGCATCAAGGCCGATTATACACATATGTGATATTGTCAAAACCTATTGATTAATCATTTGTAGCAAGAATTAAAGGCTCGTTGTATTGCGTAATGACAGTTTAAGGATGGGTTTGTAATGACAGCAGGCCATTCATTGACTCATTTATTATTTGTTCGATCTCTGAAAACGTTATACTCTTACTAGTAGCAAGGTTCTTATATTGAAAGTCTTGCTTAAAATACTATACGTGATGTTAATTTGTTACAGATAGTTCATGTTTTGTCACTATAGTTATCACTGTGTTTAGTCCAGTCAATCCGTTGTAAAAATCAACCATACGTGGACAAAAATGGCGTCCAAGGAATTTTGTCTGAAACTTATGTTTTTTGGGGCGCTGAATCCGAATCTGAAGTTGTCCAACAAATATTTCTTGAGCGTTCCGAGATATTCGCAAAAAATAGCAAAATTTTAGCATTTTTTCGGCGTTTATATTATAAGTCGAAAACTATGAATTCTAGCGGCATTTACCCTCGTACAAAATGGAAGGTGACAAAATTTCCTTCAAAATACACTATTCACACTAGAAAATCGATTAGAAATACTCTCCGCTAGAGTGCATTGAAAATTGGTTATTTTGCTGAATTTAAAAAATGTCAAGCTTTTGTTCTGATTTTAATTATTATCAGCAAACACCCACACCCTTCCCTTATAACTATCTCAACCCGAATTCCCCCATCAAAACACCACATTAATTTTATCATTACATTACATTTGAACGCTTTCAGTACAACTTACCCCTCGCTTTGCCAAACACTTCAAGCACAGGCTTGACCGATGTGAATGAGCAAAAGACAGGTTAAAAGAGGCCGCAAACCTCTTAAAAATTAATGATGCAATCTACCAAAAGGTCGACGTTAGGTAGTACAGTAATAGGATCACAGTTTAGAGCCCTTACGAAACTAATAAAAATGCCACAGGCTTAGATAAACATAAAATTAATAGTATATTTGATCCCTAGGGTGTAACGTGACTCTTTTCGATCGAGCTCAAGTTTTACGACGGAGGTGAAGCCAAGGTCGGAAAATGAGCGAGGGATGAAAAGACACTTTTTACCCGTGTGATGAACTATATTTTTCGTCATGCATCATTGGGTGAAGTGAATAATGATCAATCAATTACTTAACAAACTAATAAAAAACTAACATAGGCTACATCTCATGTAAAGATATGATAACCTCTCAAAACAACTTTTAACTTGATTTTAATTTTCCTAACTCATAAAAGCAGCTGTTTAGTATATGATTAAATCATTTCGCCTATAACGATTGTGTTAGTGTACATTATACATACAGTACTATCGATATGTCAAACTACTGAATGGACAAGAATGCAACAATAAGCCACAATGGTGAAATCAATCGATACATAATTCCAAAACATGCGATTGCTTACAATCGAAGTTAGCAACTGAGTTTATGACAGCTGACATTTACTCCCTAGGAACTAAAAAGGATTTTTACTCCCTAGGGAGTAAACGAGCTACGAGCTACTTTTGACCCGAGACGCATGTACTAAAAACGGCTGTTATCGCTTCAACATGACGAAAAATATCGTTAACAGGTAGTACTGTTGTAAATCTTGACTGTAATTTGATATTTGTATTTTAATAATTAGCTTTGTTTCATTTAAGACCAGTGACGCCACTCATCTATGTTTGTGGCCCATACCGTTATGTGTTCTAATACCCGTCCTTTTAGTATTTATTTTACATCTTCTGGGAATGTTTTATCCATACTAGAGAACGTGAAAAGTCAAGTCCTAGGTCATTGTTCTGTCACACACTTGACAAATAGTGAGAAGCAGGTCGCCGGCTAACCTTGTCCTGATCCCCAGGAAACATGATCGATCTCATCAAGTGTATTGAAATGTCCTTATTGTGTCTCACTTTGGCTACATTTATCATATCGAAGTAGAAGTTACTGAATCAATTAATGGGAGGGGTTTTTCTAATACAAAAACCGTTTTCCTCTGAGATACCTAATTTTTAACTAGATGGACCTTGAGGTGATTTAAGGAATGCCTTCCTCACGTCCTCACAATTAATTACTTGTGATCTAGTCATCACTTATGTGAATACTTGGTTTTACATTTGAATCGTTAAATTAGAATATTTTACCATTAGTTCATAAAATTGTAATTTTAGTTGAATCTGAGTGATTGGATGATTTTATTTATTCATGCCTAAGATTTCATCCTATAAACTTATCAGGTATATCATCACTGCTGTTTTAACAAGGGGACAACAAATATGTGACTGGTTTTAACTTGTTTTAATTTATACTAAGATGCAATCTCCAAATATATATCAACGATAACAGCCTCTAGGCCTTGTCTGAGGTAATGTGAAACTGCTTCCGTGCCAAAGTCCAGCACACTAGGATGTGAAAGTATAGCATAAAAGAATATTTCATCACTAGGACGTAAAGTGACTCTTTTCGACCCGAACTCAAGTTTCATGACTGAGGCAAAGCGGAGGTCGGAAAATAAGCGATGAACTATATTTTTCTTCATATTGCATCATTATTTAAACTTGTTTTTAATTTTGCTAATGAAAAAAAAACAGCTGTTTAGCATTGATTAAAAGCAGTTAATCAAAAGCAGCGGCTATTGCATATATTACGATAGTTTTAATTTACATAATAATATCGATACGTCAAACAAGAATGCAACAATAAGCTAAAACCGATTGAATTAATCTATACATAATTTTTACACACGATTTTTTAATCGAAGTTTACAACTGAATATAACCCCTAGACTAGAGGCCCTAGAGAGTAAAGGAGCTACGGTACTTTGGACCCGCAACGCACCAACGCACGTAATCAAAACGGCTGATTTGCTGCAGTTTGACAAAATAGTATTTACACAATTAACTATTGTGTAAAGATAGTCTTTACGACACGAGTATAAAACACTTCTACGAGTGTCGTAAAGGCTAATTTACGTGAGTTGCTAAACTACTTTACCTACGATCGTTTATTTAATTACGTTTGTAAAACATCATTATCTATATTCTCTTTCTGTTTACTATTTTCAGAGAATGCACTGCTAGCGAATTATTGTTACTCTAAATATTGTTTTAGGTACAAGTAGACAACTATTACAAGTGTTTTAGCAATACCGCAATGCAATACTGTATTGAACAATTTTGCTTCACATAAATATTTAAATAAAAAAAAACAAATTTTTATTATTATTATTATTGGTTAAGGATAATCATTAAAACGTGTTGTACACATCATATTTTCTCGTAACGTTTCTTTAATTAAGGGAGTAAAAGATTATTATAAACTGTTTAATCCCTTACTTCTATGTCGTTTATTTCACTAGAACTATCTGACGATTTCAAAAAAATTCTGCAACTGTTGGTTGGCAAATTGTAGTTCAATTTTTAGGTAAAGAAAAGAATGTGTGTGTTTCTAGCGGAAGTTGGCAGATCAACAATTGAATTTGTCGTTATCAGGTAATAAGTTGGTGATGGAAGCATTACAATTTTATTCTTTTATCTCAATCCTTGAACCTCATTGGTCCGTGACTTTACCACACTAGTGTTGTAAAGTGAAAACAAACACAATGTTGAAAAGTAAGTAAAAACAATGTGGTAAAGTGAATCGTTTCAATTCTAAGAACTGAATTGAAATAGGATATTTCATCACTAGGGCCTAAAGTGACTCTTTTCGACCCGAGCTCAAGTCTTATGATCGAGGCGAAGCCGAGGTCAGAAAATAAGCGAGGCTTGAAAAGACTTTTAGCCCATGGGATCGGCTATATTTTTGTCTTATTGGACCAGTATTTTAGCAAACTATGTAAAAGAAGTTTTCGTTAAAAGATAACCACTCAAAACTGCTTCTAACTTGTTTTAAATAATTTGCTAATGGAAACAAGCAGCTGTTTGGTAAGTGATTCAATCGTTTCGTCTACTACGATCGTTTCATCGTATCGATAAGTCGAACTATTTACTATAATCGATTAAACAATTGATATACTTACGATACATATGATTGTTTACGTTCATAATTTACAACCGAGTTGACAACAGCTAAATTCCACTCCCTAAAGAGTAAAAATTCTGCTTTAGACCGTATTCAAAACGGCTGTTTTGCTGCAGTACGACGAAAAAGCAATTTAGTTAAAAAAAACTGTCGAAAGTAAAAATACCCCCGCCGCAGCAAACCTGCAGACTAAGCGAATTTCCATTTGACTGATTGGATTTACACTGAAATGTCTACTTAAAAATATAACATTTATTCCCTATTTAAATAGAATTAGTTTAACAAGTACTTAGGTTTGCTGCATCAGGGAGGGTAAAACTGTTCTTTTTTTGTAAAATGTTAATAGTTAGTAAGAAATAAAAATATTTTTCAAATTTGATCAAAATATGTTCATAAACAAGCAAACTACAACAGTTTACTTATTCTCCATAAGAATAACATTGGAATTTTAAATTTACAATTTTTTGGAATTTTCTCCGTAACCATTAGGCGCATAATAACGCTTCAATATACTAAATTATTTGTTTTTTTAAGCTCTACAAAATGGTTTGAAAAGAAATTGCTAAATTTTATGTTTTTTGGGTAAAAAATAGGAAAAACCTATTTTTACCCCATAAAACCCCCCGTAAACCCCCGTTCCCATGGTCCGATCATGCTGGATTGCGAACTCGTTCGAATAAACGTAGGTTTACACGTTTGTACCAAATTTCATCAAAATCGGATCATTTTTGCTCGAGTTATCGTGCTAACGGACACATATATATATATATAAATATATAAATATATATATATATATATATATATATATGAATTTGAACGGATGGTGTTTTTGGCCTCTAGGGACCTCAAAACGAAAAAAAAAATCGGTCCCGCGTCCAGGTCTTACCATGAGTACTACGGTAATAGCTTATTCCCTATATGGGAAATTCGCTAAAATGGATAGCAGCTGATTGACCTACCTGATGGAGGACTAGAGTGGACATACAGACCCTGTGCTTGGTTGGTCTTTCTGCTACGAGCTCTCATGGTCCCCCGGCCTCCAGGGGTGTGAAGTCAGCGTCCGGGGACAGTCTTGGAGGCATCGTCACTGGAAACGTTGAAGGATTTGAAACTTTCCGTGTACCATGTGAAAAGTGACTGGTAGATCAGTGTATCATGCCACTTTTGGGCCAAAAAGTATGACTAGAGGAGAAACCACTATAAAATCTCTTGATCCATAACAACAATTTGGTACAATGGTACATACAGTAATTAGTTTGGAATTCATTAGTTTTGTGACAAAATAGTGATTTTAATAAAAATGGCGTGAGTAAACTTAATATCATTGTTGTAGAATTAGCTGTGTCGTTATAAAGAATTAATGTGTTTTAATTCATCCAGAAAAAAATACAGATTGTTTTATTTTTATTGATACAGTAACTTATACTGTTTTTGTTTGAGAGTGGCGTGACGTTATCTACTAACATTTTTAAGTATAAGTTGTCCAAAAGTGTGTGAAACGAAAACTCATTTGTCATTTGTTTATCAATGGTATTTATTAATCGAAATCTTCCTTTAACTCTCTTTAAACTCTTTGCCATAAGGAACATTATAGCATTTGATATGAACTGCTTTTATATTCCAGACATACAATCTATATTGACCAGCTTCAGCAAAACGTTTCTTTAAAAACAACATAATGTAATTATGCTTACAGTTATGTAATTATGCTGTCATTAGCCAGTCATACAATTCCTACCATTATTATAGTAGTTTACTTAACTGTTACTGGTTATATTATTAAATAATCAACATAAATGATTTTATGGGTTTAATAGTTCTAGTCTAATATCCCAGAAATTATTAGAAAAGCTAGATCCTAACATTTTATTTCTTATTTTTATGGACTATGTAAGTACGGTAGATTATATTTAATTGTTGGGTAAAGCTATAATTGAATATTATAATTATTTCCATTTCCGTACATTATTCCGTTTGCGAGATTTATATTATAAATTATTAGTTATTTGATTACGTCTAAGGTTTCCTGATTCAACAATAACTAACAATAATAATTAACAGGGAACTCTTAAAAGTCTACATTTATCTCATATAAAACTGCGTAGGGGTATGAATAGTTAAATACATAATTCTTTCCTGCATATGCATAAACTGCAACACCAAAAATAATGCATATTAATTTGTAAACTCGTCACTAAAAGTTTTATACAGATGGCAACCTATCCATGAAAGCAACGAATTCATAGAAATTTTTTTTATATTCTAAAATCATTTTTCTTCAAAGTTCCATGTAACACACTGCGTTAATGTTTTAAATACTTTAAGACAATTTCATAAAATAAAAACCTTAGATGCACAATACTCTGTACTGTCAAAAGAAATAAAAATATAAAAAAAAACAAATACAATATTGCGTGTAGCCTATATTAAAATATTTTTAAGATCTCCGTAAGCGTGTTACCTGTTCGGCTCGACAAAGTGTGATGTCCAGTGATGGCAAGGTTGCTACAACACTGACAGACATCACGTGCCATCCACGCTCACACGCGCAGGCCCACGCACACATACTCACACAACGATTTTTTTAATAGCCTTACTTGTACTTTACAACACCCAAAGTGTGTAGAGTATAGAAGATGTGTTGAATTTGTTTGGAACAACGTATAGAAAGAACTGTTACATATAATATTATTACTGTATACTGTAAAAGTATTTTTCCAAAAAAATGTCAACAACGTAAGCATTTTAACGATTGGTAATTTGACGAATAAATAATTCACTAACAGTTTTGATCACAAAAATGTATATTTTGACAGAATTTATTACTTACTACCAATCTATTACTTATACTATATTACTTACTATATCTATTAATTATACTTATTATCTATATATTAATTTGAAACTGTTTTTCTTTGTGACAGCTATTTTGAGAGAACGGGTGGGTGTAGAAACTCGGTAGAGGTGTCCAAAGAAAGGTCTTGGTCTGTAGATGAGCCATCAAAAGAGAAACATGGTGAATTCCCTCGGGGCTCTGCCCCGGTGGCCTTTAAATTCCCATTCCATGTTATTCTTATGGAGGAAAACGGGGTTTTTGTCACAGCTAATTTGAGAGAACGGCTGTGCGTAAAAACTTGGTAGGGGTGTCTAAAGAAAGGTATTGGTCTGTAGGTGAGCCCTCAAAAGAGAAATGAGGTAAATTTCCTTGGGGCTCTGCCCCAGAGGCCTTTAAAGTTCACTCTGCAATTTTGTTTACATTTCGACCATATGGATAATTTTGCACTACTTTTAATGAACCAGCTGTTAATATTAAAATTGTATTCAAAGGTTTACTGAAACTGTCAAAATTAAATGTTTACATTATTATTTATGATTTAAAATGGATTCTCCACTGCATGCCAAGTATTTTATAGTTTCAACAAAATGATGAATTTATGATACGTTTGAAATGTTTTGTTCAAAAATCTATGCTTTATTGCTCTTAGAAAATTTTAAATTATGAAATAAGTGTGACATATCAATTTCGAAGGAATATATCATTATTCCTTATCGGGTTAGCTTATATATATTGTAAGGTTGGCACTTGCCTTCTTTTGCCTACTTTCAATCACCATTTATTTTTTAATTCAAGAAAGAACACCAAGAAATTTATTTATTGGTATAAAGGTTTCGATAATCGGGTTGAAAATTGTTTCATAGATGAGTACGTTGAGGATGAGAGCTGTGTTCAAGTTTTGGAATAGACTAACTACGGAGTATGTTTCATCTATGGTTTTGGTGAAGTAGTTGAACTAATGTCAATTTAGGTATTTACAAAAATGTGTACAGGGTTTTTATTTTGATGTACACATGTAGCTAGGGCGAACAACGCATCTAAACCTCACTACATACAAAGCATTTGGAAACACAACAGTGTCATCGCATCTCACCGCATTTGCATAATTTGTTACCAAGGCTGGACTAGGTTATGGATTTGGTTCCGCAAATGTTCAAGATTTGTGATCAAATTTCCTAAAATTATGGTTCATTCCATCCACGAAATACATGCACAGCTTTATGTGATCGATATGGCCAAGGAAAACTACCCCATAAGTTAACGAATTATCAAGTAAGAACAGGATGATTAAATAATAAATACATGGGTCGATGTGGCAAGAGAAGGAATTAAAATTGCTTGGATCGAAGTAAAAAATGTTACTGCTTTCTGGAGATTCAGATATTTTTATCAAATACAAAAAAAAACTAATTTAATGCTGATAAAATTCTGTATTTTTATGACCAAAGATGAAGATTTACTTATAAATCCGGATACAATCTGAATGATTTTCCTAAAGCAGATGGAATTAGTTGTAGTAATAAATATTTACTCTTTCCGTAACATGATAGACTAATTATATGAACTCATTCTCCCATATAGTGAAAGTGGCTTTGACATGAAACAAACTCATGAACAAACTAACAAAATTGTAAGACTCCTAAAAAACCTTTTGGGCAACCTAAAGCCGATAAAAAGGTAAGAACTGTTGTGTTAAACGAATTCATCAATAACGTTTTTAGGGAATACAATCGTCATACTTATTATTATGCTTATCCTCCCTTCATTTAACTAAGATTTTAATGACTTCACTCTATCTATCGCAGTTAGCTGAATTTACATAAAACCTCAAGATTGACCGTCGATTTCGACGGGGTTCCACTAGTAGAACTTAATTACATAAATACCTAGTTATTTTTGGAACTTTGCACGGTATCTGAAACGATTAAGTATAATAAATGGTAATAAAGGTTTAATAACAACAAGAAATTGGTATGCTGTAAAAGTTTATAGATAAAACTTGTGTTGGCATTCTTAGGCTATGAAACTTCAAAATGTCAAAAATTGTCACGATTCTATGCAGTATCTAGAAAATATTATATTATCAACCAACAATATGTAATGTATTTTTTACACTGTCGGCTACATATAAAAATCACAGTTGTATAAGAATTACGTAATTTCCATTATAGAGTCATGAAATAGTTAATTCACTTCAACTAAGTAAAATTTCAGCAAAAGGTGAACAAATTCCGCTTCTAAGGTGTAGGTGCTTTCGATCCTGGATCTGAAAGACTTTTTTCCATGAAATACATTATATTCAATTATATCTCAAGATAGGGAAATTACATCAATTACCTTCCAGGGACCCCCTAGATGGGTAGAACCCTATGTGAGTTACCTCGTTTGACACCTAGAAGCATCGGTCCACCCATTCGCCAGCTATTGTACGATTGTATATATGTCAAGTGGAAACATGAAGTTCCCTGCGAGAACCAAAAATTAAATACTTCATTTTAATTAGCTACATTACAAATTTTGCCAAATTGTTTGACGTAATTAAATTATTGTCAAATTATAAGACAAATTTAATTAAATATTGTTTTAAATATATTATAAAATCTATAAATATATACTTTTTATACGTGTGTGTTCCGTATCAGTAGTATTGCGAACTGCTTTGCCGACATTGCAACGTAGTTAGAACCACCGCCGTAAGGCTCCGCTAGCGACCAGAGCGATGAATCAATCTTCTTTACCCAACAAGATATTTTAAGACTGAATAGGCTACACGTTGATTTCTAACTCTCATTGGGGTCAATATCACTTAAATGTTATATTTATTGCCCATTAATTTAATTTAATTATCTTTTCATTTATATTAGATATTAGGTTATTGTTCTTGGCGGCTACCATATTGGTCTTTTCTCTGTCGTACCGGTAGGCCTACTGTGATACTGTATAATTTGTCAGTTTCAGTAACACACGATTAGAATAAAATAGTACTATGGTGCTCCTACAAAATTTTGTTTTCAGTACTTGACAACTGATTGACACACAAGGCTAGTGTGTTTCTTTTTAGGTAAATATAGGTATATACAAATTGATATTTAGCAAAGATCGAAATCCATTCGAAGCCAAGCAAGCCAAAAAGTGACAAATCCGAGACCTGTCGTTTTTCTTCCTTCATCCACTT